TGGCTCATCGCCTTCAACTGTGGAGAGACAGAAAAGTCTGAAACCATCAAATTCTCAAAGGTTCAGTGATGGAACCTGAAGATTTAAACTTCTACAGCTGCTTTGTGTTTAAGTTTTCGTCCGACTTTGTACGGACTTATTTTAAATACGACGCATCACTCCATGTGATGATCTCTCCTTTCACTCAGCCGCTCTGCTGTTACTTTCCCTCTCTGCAGTCTTTTGTTGTGCACGTTAAAAATTCAGTTACGTGTATACATGGCAGGTAAATCAGGTTTCTCTAATCCCCTGCCTCGATTTCATAAACCTACAATAAGAGTTCAGCTTACTGGAGAAACCTGAGTCCAAGAGACGAAACAGCCAAAAAAGACCAACCAATGTCTGTTTTAAAAGCAAAGGAATCTCCTCGTGTCGATCTCTGGGATAAATTCATTCAGTCTTTAAACTGACAGATGTGCTGACATGAAACCTTCATCTGATCCCAGTGTGTGTGTCATGTGACTGGATGTGAGCAGAGTGTTTCTCTTTCCTCATCACTGAGCTCCGTGTTTCCTCTGTGTGCAGGTTTTGAATTAGGCTTTGCCATGGCCAGTCCCAACGCGCTGGTCCTGTGGGAGGCCCAGTTCGGAGACTTTCATAACACGGCTCAGTGTATCATCGACCAGTTCATCAGCTCGGGTCAGGCCAAGTGGGTGAGACAGAACGGCATCGTGCTGCTGCTTCCTCACGGCATGGAGGGGATGGTAAGAACCGAGACACTGATCTGAATGATCTGGTTCGTGATGTAATTCCACTTTGTGTCGGCTCCTGATTGTTTTTTCTCTTTCTTCCCTCGTTATCTCAGGGTCCAGAGCACTCGTCCGCCCGTCCCGAAAGGTTTCTCCAGATGTGCAACGATGACCCAGATGTTTTCCCTGTGAGTTTGTGTCAGAAACAGTCTGCAGGACGTAAACAAATACACAAACTTTGTTCTGGACAGATACAGTATGAACAGTTTACTCCTGTGTGTCACAGCAGATTCACACTCACAGATCCAGGTGATTTTACATGATGCAGATCATCCAGCATGTCAACATATTGATTATAGGCTCGATAACTCCTCCTCAGTTTTCAGATCAGTTATGCAGAACAGGATAAAGCTCGACTGATCATGTTTTATATTTGATTCATTTGAGGTAAATGGTTAAATTCTGTTGTTTTGTTTATTTTTGCAGCAGCTGAACTTGTTAGAAAATGATTTAACCGTCTAGATCAGAGGTTTTCAAGCTGTGAGGGAGGCTGCAGGAGATATTTTGGGTGGGGGGTGTTCATGAAACAAAGATACACAAAAAACACAACTGCGAGTTAGTTAGTTATTGTAGTTTAGCAGCTGATTTCACCCACAAAATAAACTTCCATAATGTGTAAATCTGCTTAGAAATCACAGAAGAAAGATGCTCCTTATTACTCCAGATTATCATTATTATTACTGAGGTTCCTTATGGTTTGCAATAAATAAATAAAGGCTAAAAAAGGTTGAAGAAGAAGCCACAGGTACAAAAACTCACTGATTCTACAGCAACATTATACTCCCTCCTCACATCCTCAGCAGCAGGATTACACCACAAGATATTAATAGAAGTGACCGAGTGTTTGTGTGTAAATGTGATTTGTATTTTCTTAATTTCTTCTTCTTCTTTGTCAGAAACTGTCGGAGGACTTTGCCGTGCGTCAGCTGTACGACTGTAACTGGATCGTCGTCAACTGCTCTACTCCTGCAAACTACTTCCACGTCCTCCGCAGACAGATCCTGCAGCCGTTCAGGAAGCCTGTAAGTGAAGCTCGCAATGAACCGTGACTCATTACACACAAAGACGTGGTTCAGGTCTCTGACCGAGTCCCGTGTGTCTCTGTCTTTGTCTCTCTAGCTGATCGTATTTACTCCCAAGTCGTTGCTGCGCCACCCAGAGGCCAAGTCCAGCTTTGATGACATGCTGCCAGGTGAGTGCGGACACGAAGAAGAGCAGGAGACATTAAACACACTGCGGCGTCTCTCTGTTATTTAGAGTGTGTGTGTGTGTGTGTGTGTGTTTCCTGCAGGGACTCACTTCAGGCGTATAATCCCAGACGAGGGTCCTGCAGCCTCCAGCCCAGAGAAGGTGAAGAGAATCATTTTCTGCTCTGGAAAGATTTACTACGAGCTGATCAGGGAACGCAAGAACAGAGGCATGGACGACGCCGTCGCTGTCGTCCGCGTCGAGCAGGTGAAGTATTTCTGTGAAAAGCAGAAATAAAGGATTTAAAGTGAATGAACAGACGATAACAACAGTCACTCAGGTCAAAGCCTTTTCCATTGAGGGTTGTCTTTACTGTGGCAGCTCCGAGAGAAGACGACTGAGCTTCTTCTTTTAGTGTTAACGCTGTTCAACGTGCTGTTAAATCTGCGTGAACATATTTATGTTCCTGAGAAGATGAACACTTTTAAATTTCAATGAGTTGTTATAGAAAATAAAAAAAATAGACAAAATAAAATCATTCTCTAATAAGTTCTCTCATCTTTCAGCAGGCGTCTCACACTTTATAAAGATTCACGTTGTCCAGATTGTTGTGATGTGATTTCTGTGACGTTTGTTTTCGTTCCTCCTTCCTGGTGAGTGTTACCTGAGGGGAGGAGTCGTCCTCATACAGCTCACCTGTGCTTGGCTGTAACTCTGCTGCCTCAAAGCTCCATGCAATAATGAATAAATAGTTTAAGTGGAGGAACGTTCACCTTCTGATTTCTAAACTTCAAAGACTCCACGACCTTTGTCTCGACCTAAACTCATCCCCGCAGCAAGAGAGGAGAGAGGATGTAGTTTCACTGCAGCTGCACAAAGCGTCTAGAAACGTGACAGTCATCAGTTTGTTTGTTCAAACCGACAGTTTGATGTTGTGACGTTTAAAGTCTGAACACTGATTTCCTCTGCTCAGCTCTCACCGTTCCCCTTCGACCTGGTGAAAGCGGAAACTGATCGTTACCTGAACGCTGATCTGGTCTGGTGTCAGGAGGAGCACAAGAACCAGGGTTACTACGACTACGTCAAGCCCCGCATCCGCACCACCACCAACCGCACCCGGCCCGTCTGGTAAGATCCACTTCACTGTGGTGCAGGATGTCAGGAAACTCTGCTGTGAGTGTAATACATGCTTGTGTGTGTGTGTGTGTGTGTGTGTGTGTGTGTGTGTGTGTGTGTGTGTGTGTGTGTGTGTGTGTGTGTGTGTGTGTGTGTGTGTGTGTGTAGTTATGCAGGTCGTGACCCTGCAGCAGCTCCAGCCACCGGGAACAAACAGACTCACCTGACGGAGCTGCAGCGTTTACTGGACACGGCGTTCGATGTGGAGGCGCTCACTGTGTAACCAACACATCAGCTCTCTCTCGCTCTCTCTCTCCCTCTCTCCTGCAGCTCTGAGCGTCGATGTGTTTCCTCCCTCACACTCTTCACATATCAGACCTGCTGACAAAACGCACAATGACTCACTGACTCTAACACTGTTACTATGACGACCTCATGTTCACAGTGATGGACTCTACTCCGACAGAAATATGAGAAAACCTGCATTGAATGTACGACTTTATACGAAAGTAATTTTTAAGACAAAGAGTTTTTAGCTCTCGTGTTTCATCTGTTTTTATTTTAGTAATTACAGAATCATTTCAGCCTGATCTTCTCTGCACAGCCACAATCCATTCATCTGGTGATCAGCTGGTGATCAGCTGGTGATCAGCTGGTGATCTGAGGCAGAAGATCTCAGAGTGACTAAAATAATGATGAAAGAACAGTTTGACATTTGGTCAGCTTGAGCAGAGTAAGAAGGGAAGATCACCTCTCTCATATCAGCCTGTTAGTCCGGCTGCACAATCAATCAAAATCACAATATGGCCGAGTGCAATATCCAAATCATAAAAGGTAAAATGTGTCTCAACATTGTTGTACATTGTTAGTACTGTGAGCGTTGTGGTGCTACAGTGACGCCCCGACCTACAAATCATCATTTCCAGACTGATGGAACCTCTAAAGCTCATTAATTAACATGTTATACCTCATTAGTTTAATCTGCACAAAAACCAAAGAGTAAAAATGACAATTAATAGTTTGACAGGAGATTTGTCCAAGATGATTTCTTGACGGGGGCTTTGGAGGAAGTCGGCAGATATTTCACACAGAGTCAGGCTAGCTGTTTCCCCCTGTTTCTAGTCTTTATGCTAAGCTAAGCTAACCATCTTACTTTATAAACACGAGTGGTATCAGTCTTCTCACTCCCATTGAAAGACCTGGAGTAAAGAAGAAAATATATACTGGAGATAATAAGAGCCAAGACAACTGAAAGATATGAGTTAAATATAAATAATGAAACATAAAATAAGAACAGAGTCGAGCTGTTTCCAATCAGCTGTGATGAATTTACTGTGAAAAGTTTTGACAGAATTCATGCCGTGACTTTAAAATACCTGCCTGTGTTCAGGGGGGGGGGGGGCTCTGTTGATGACATCACATGCATTTACATTTCACATGAACTCACCTTTCATTCATTCAGCTTGAATTCTTCGGTTCCTATTTATTTCCTCCTCGCTCGCTCACCGTCCCTCCACGTCTCTGTCAGCGTCTGTTTGTGCCAAATGTAACAGATTACTTGAAATTAAAGTTTCATTTTAATAAAAAAGAAAAACCATGCCAGCACAGGTGGTGATTTACAGCATGTAAAGACAGAGTTGAAGGATGTATTTATTTTCATATAGTGATGTATGTTTTATTGTTTTCAACAAATAAAGATTTTACTTGAACTGAGCTGCTGAAGGGTTTTTTCTTCTGTCGTCTCACACGAACAATAACACGTCAGACACTTATTAACGCAGCAGATGAAGGTTTCAACCACTGTAAATCAGCACTGAAGAGTAACACGTACAGCTGATTTCAAACAGACACTAAATTCACTTGAAACAACAACAACAAAAAGAAAACAGACGACTGAGGCTTTTTCTTTTTAATCCTGTTTTAATTTCGGTTTCATTTTCTACAAATTTCACTGTCCAAAAAACATTCATGTTGATTGACTTCAGTTATCACCGTTCACTCAGAAATGTCTCCAGAATTTTTTTTAGTCTAGCTTTAATAATACAACCGTTAATACACCTATGCTAATTTTCTTAAATTCTCAAAACACAAACCAACATTTTAAAGATTCCCTCAGATGTTTTGTTCCTCAACTCCTAAAACTGAACTTCTACATCCTCTCCCCACATTCCTACACTGTCAGCAATCAAATTATGGAAAACAAAATGCAAAATAATACTAATAATCTTTCAGTTTATATTAAAGTTTATATTTTAGTGCAAATTCAGATGCAGACACGGACGTGAATCTGTCCTCACAGCTGACTCCTGGACCGCCTGACGTCGTTTCTGATGAACTCGAACAGATCCACGCGTGAAACAGCGTGAGCGTGCTGAGCAGCACAGAAGTCCTCCAGGAGCCGGTACAGTTTCTCTGTGAAGGAACCGTTTGACAAATTAACAGACAGAAAACTGAGGAACTGGAAAAACACAGCAACATTATTATTATTATTATTATTATTATTATTATTATTATTATTATTATTATTATTAAACAGGGAAATCTCACCGACTGTAATCCCCTCTGTGACCAGCAGGTGGTAGATCTGCTCCAGACCGTGCTTCAGCTTCTCATCGCCGAAGGTGAAGAAGGCCAGGCCTCTCCTGGCCCTCGCTGCTGCCATCAGCTGGATCAAAGCTGAAATCAACACAATTAAAAAGTGATTATTGATGAATCAGTGGGTTGATCGGTAGATTGGATGTTTAAGAAGCTTACCTTTGAGTTGTGGGTCTCCGTTGAAGACTCCACAGCCCCACTTGCCCGTGGCGATGTCCGGGTCCTTGCCTTCTTGTCCCATGAATCCACAGTACGCCTTCAAGGACACGGTAAAATCATGTAAAAAATGACACCTTCATTTATGATACAGCACACACCAAAGACTGACCTCACCTTGTTCAGTTCCCGCGTGACGCTGCTCATATTGTACTGCTCTTGTACGTGTTTGAAGTTTATAGCGTCGATGGCTAAGATCTGCCTCTTCAGCCGACCCCACTCGTCCCTGAGAAGACAAGATCGCATTGGTGGAACGAAAAAACAAACTACATTCAAATTTACGATGCATAAAACACCTGCTCGTACCTGTCCAGGCGATCCTGATGAGGCCCCGCCCACTCGAAGCTGTCACCAAAACCAGAGTAAACGCTGAACTGCTGCGAGCCTGAGACAGAGACATTAAACAACAACTGTGAGGCTGCGTCCTCGTATTATTTTTTATTACTATCAACAAATAACTTGTCAATAGACTAATCCATTAATCGACTAATCGTTTGATTCCCACCTGTGATGATCAGACACTCGGTGTTCTCCAGTTTCTCAGTGAAGAGGCGGGAAACAATCAGCTCTGGATTTATGAGGAACAGGATCTCCTCCTGCACCAGACCGGAGCCCAGCACGCCTCCACCGATCCGACTGGAGGCGAAGTCCACCTGCACGCACACGTTCACGCGTAATTTAAAGGTTTATCCCAGAAACAGCTGCGGACCGTTGCTGCTGTGGGTCGGTTCTTACCTGTAACATCCCAGTACCTTCAGTCTCGATGCTGCCGTGCGACGTCACGTGCAGTTTAGTCAGCTTCTCCTTACAGCTTCAAGAAACAAACAAACAAACAAACAAACAAAATAACAAACAAATAAATATCTAGAGAGGACGGATTCGCAGAACACGTCTTAGTTATTCTTTTTTATTGAACTGATGGTGGTTACACTTTGTTATCACTTTTAGTTTTTAAAATGTTTTATGTACCGGCCGTTTTGTTATAATATAACATAAACTAAATGTGTAAATTTCATTATACATTATTATTTAATGCTCTTTGTTCCTTTACTCCTTCAGGTTTACACTGAAACTAGAGTGTTTGAGTCAGGGCCTCTTAACTTACATCATTTTCATCTTGTATAATTATGTTTTTTTATGACAGTCATTTTTTAATATAATCTAATCAAAGTCTGACTTTGTATAGAATAGAAACGTAATAGAAACAGTTTGTGTGTTGTAACTGTATCACTCGCTCAGTCAGTCACGGATATCTGTGTTTAAAGGGCCGGTTCCTCTGTTGCCATCCAGCCAATAATCAATGATTACCTTTTCCATTTGGGCAGGTCCGTGTCCTTCAGGCAGCGCCTCTCAAACGTCACCAGTCCAATCGGTTTAGTGTCTGCAAAGATAAAAAAAAAACAAAAACGGTGGTCACATATTTTCACAGAGGGTCTCGCAAACAGGAAGGGGGAGGAGCTTTGGCAGCGACTTACTCTCATCTGTAACCACATTAAAATAATGCATGATGGCCCTCAGCTTTTCTTTCTTCCGCTCTGACCACTTCCCAAACAGACTACATGCAGGATGAGAATCAACAGTTAACTCACACACAGTTCACACACAGGACAGAGGATGTGGATGTGTGACACCGTGGGACGGCGCTACCTGGTGAAGTTGATGGTGGGGTAGCCGTGATACTCTGTGTTGGGTCCCGACGTGTTGCGATGGGGGAAGGTGGAGAAGAACGCGTTGGCGAGCAGACAGGATATCTGAACCTGCGACAGAGTGATGGCTGCTGTGTGTCCTCTCTTGAGCAGCGGGATGGCCTGAAAACACGGACGCGCTCCATCATCATCACCATCATCATCATCATCAACATGAGTGACCTGCAGATCCCATAAGTTTCATACCTTCTTCACTTGCTCGGGAAGCTTCAACGCCAGCGCAGCGATCTTTGGAAACAGTGTGCAGAAGTAGTTCTCTTCTTTGGGGATACACTAGAAAATAATTACGATAATTTCTCATCAACAGATGCTCAGACATCCAGTCACAGAGCCCATGATTCAGTCACATGACGTAAACAGATCGACACTGACCTTGACGAAGGAGGAGAGGGCGTCAAACGTCCAATGACCTTTGTACTTCGGGTTATACTTCATGATTGCCTCCTAAAAATAGTATTTGACAGATTAAAGTTGAACATTTTTATGTCCCTTAGAGACGGATTATAGAATTTCAACTTCATGATGCTAGGTTATAGATACTGTAGGTGTGTGGCCGACTCTCTCCCTGAGAAACCTCTTTTAAACCAGCCGTTTATACAATAAATATCATTCGCCGCAGGAAAGGACAGAGACGACATGATACGTACCGCCACATCGTCAGCGCTCACTTCTTTCTTACTGGCCAGACCCTTCAGCTGCTTGGAGATCATGTCCCACCTGCACACCTGGGCAGTCGGCTGTGGACAGAGAAGACAGATTCAACAACATGAACTTTTCTGCAGACATTCGTGTTTCCCTGAGGATGATTCCTGCTGACTTTGTTGGTCTTCTGACTTTTCCTCTAGCGCCACCATGAGGTGAATGTTTTTGTTTTGTTTAGTGAAATGCTTCAGCAGATGGATTGTCATAAAATGTGCTTCACATGTTCATGCTCCCCTCAGGACAAACTGTTGGTTTATGACCAAATATCCATTATGGGTTGAGGATTGTGAGAATCTGGGTTTGTTTTGTAGCATCTGAACAGTTTCCACCAATAAAACATTCGGCTATATTCCTATAAATCAGTAGTATGACTGAGTTTAGATTGACTGGGTGCTGATTTGAATGGTTGTTGAATGGATTTGGGTTATTTGACAAAAACAAATACATATTTCGAGCATCAGTTAAGAAGACAACATCAGACGAACCCTCAGTAATCCGGGCTTGAAGGCCATGAAACTTCCTTGTGAACACGGCATCTTCACAAAGTCCCTGTGCCACATGTCTCTCCCGGCCTGGGGCACGAGCAGTGCTCCATGGTTGAAAGCACTCACCTGGGAGAAAACACAACACAAGTCAAACGCTGAAATACTTTAGTTTAGCTGGAAGGCCTCTTGCCAGAAACACACTTCTATAACGACCTGCAAAGCCCAGATGGTTGTGGTGGACGAATGTGCCAAACACTTTACTGTTCGACTTGGTTTTTATTTTGAGTGTTTGAGAGAGTAAAGCTGAACATGTTGTGTCCCTTAGAGACGGATTAGAGAATATCAGAGTAAAAAATGTGCAAATTCAAAGTGTCAAACTGCCAACGTGGACTTCTGGATATATATATACAGTATATCATTCAAGTTTCAACGACCAGCTCAACATAACAAGCCGACAGAAAGTAAAGAAGGGCGGCAAAGTAAAAGTCTTGTATTAAAATCCTATTTAAAGTATTGTCAGTAAAATGTGCTGAAAGAATGAAAAGTAAAAGTGTCTCCTGTCATGAAACATGACATTCTCAGATCATTAATCAGTTTCATCCACTGAGGCGTCACCAGATAAAAGTAAAACAAAAAGTAAAGAACAAGAACATGAAACTTTGTGACACCAGGGGAGACGGAGCCGTGAGTCCTTACGTCGATGAGGACGGCGTGCATCCTGCTGAAGTTCAGCTCCTTCAGCCTGATGCCGCAGCGGGAAAGCGTCTTCAGGTCGCTCCGTGGACAACAGGAGGAGGCGGGCTCCCTCTGCTCCCTGTCCTCCCTGTGCTCCCTGTCCTCCTTGTGCTCCCTGTCCTCCCTGTCCTCCCTCTGCTCCCTCTGCTCCTTGTGCTCCCTCTGCTCCCTGCGCTCCCTGTCCTCCCTCTGCTCCCTCTGCTCCCTCTGCTCCCTCTGCTCCTTGTGCTCCCTCTGCTCCTTGTGCTCCCTCTGCTCCCTCTCCCATCCTGGTCCACTGCTGCCACCCCCAGTGCAGGAGGGTCCAGAGGAGGAAGAGGAGGAGCAGGAACTGTCTTTGCCGCTGTGATCTCTATTATCGCGTCTCTCCTTGTGGCTCCTCTCAGGGTCGAGATCTGGATAAAGGAGGTCTCTTATCTGGGAACTGTCGTTTCGCCCGGCCATCCCTGGAGGAGGAGGACGGGGTCGGGGGTGGGGGGTTCAGGAGACAGGACATGACGGAGGGAAAGGAAACAACACAATGTGAGTTTTCACTTTAACCCCACGACCCTTGGAGCAGGACCAACAGGTTGGAGCAGAAAACCAGATACTGATCGAATATTTCACTAAAAACCACTGGCTCCAGACCAGTGTGACGTCATAAATCCTGCATGTAAATCCAGGTGTTAAATAGAGAAACTCTCAGCAGATGAAGGTGAGAACAACCTGCTCTTCACCTCCTTCACCAGGCGAACTATCAAGTTTTAAACTCCACGTTTTAAACTCCCACAAACAGTCTTCGGCCTGATCGGACCAACAGTAACAGTGACTCGGCTCTTTACGCACGACGTGAAGAAAAACACCGTCAACTCACCTGTCACCTGTCGGGCTGAAGAGCAGGGTCGACCTGAACGGGATTATCGTCAGTTACAGGTTTAATCCGTGAAAAAGCAGCAGAGACGAACAAACAAACACAGACTGAAGTTCAGTTTCAGCTTGAGGCGAAAACGAAAGTGAAACAGAAACAGCGACAGTGAAACATCGATCTGTGAACACAAGGTGGCGGCAGAGAGCTGCGAGCAGCTCAGCCGCCCCCTGTAACTCACGGTTTACTACAGCACTACTACTAATACTACTGCTGCTACTGATAATACTACTGATAATACTACTAATACTACTGCTACTACTGATAATACTACTGCTACTACTGCTACTACTACTGCTACTACTACTAATACTACTGCTGCTACTGATAATACTACTGATAATACTACTACTGATAATACTACTGCTACTACTACTAATACTACTGCTACTACTGATAATACTACTGATAATACCACTGCTACTACTACTGCTACTACTACTGCTACTACTACTGATAATACTACTGCTACTACTGCTACTACTGATAATACTACTACTAATACTACTGCTGCTACTGCTACTACTGATAATACTACTACTGATAATACTACTGCTACTACTGCTAATACTACTGCTGCTACTGATAATACTACTACTAATACTACTGCTGCTACTGATAATACTACTACTGCTACTACTACTGATAATACTACTGATAATACTACTGCTACTACTACTGCTACTACTACTGATAATACTACTACTGCCACTACTACTGATTGTGTTCATGCTACTACTACTGATAATACTACTGATAATACTACTGCTACTACTGATAATACTACAGCACTACTACTAATACTACTGCTACTACTGATAATACTACTACTAATACTACCACTGCTACTACTGATAATACTACTGCTACTACTGATAATACTACTGATAATACTACTACTGCTACTACTACTGATAATACTACTGCTACTACTACTGCTACTACTGATAATACTACTGATAATACTACTGCTGCTACTGATAATACTACTGCTACTACTACTGCTGCTACTGATAATACTACTGCTACTACTACTGATAATACTACTGCTGCTACTGATAATACTACTGCTACTACTACAGCACTACTACTAATACTACTGCTGCTACTGATAATACTACTACTAATACTACTACTGCTACTACTCCTACTACTACTGCTACTACTGATAATACTACTGCTACTACTACTGCTACTACTGATAATACTACAGCACTACTACTAATACTACTGCTACTACTGATAATACTACTACTAATACTACCACTGCTACTACTGATAATACTACTGCTACTACTGATAATACTACTGATAATACTACTACTGCTACTACTACTGATAATACTACTGCTACTACTACTGCTACTACTGATAATACTACTGATAATACTACTGCTGCTACTGATAATACTACTGCTACTACTACTGCTGCTACTGATAATACTACTGCTACTACTACTGCTGCTACTGATAATACTACTGATAATACTACTGCTACTACTACAGCACTACTACTAATACTACTGCTGCTACTGATAATACTACTACTAATACTACTACTGCTACTACTCCTACTACTACTGCTACTACTGATAATACTACTGCTACTACTGATAATACTACTGATACCACTACTGATAATACTACTGCTACTACTACTGCTACTACTACTGATAATACTACTGATAATACTACTGATAATACTACTGCTACTACTACTATTACTACTAATACTACTCATACTACTACTAGTCTACTACTAATAATAATAATGATCCTGAACAGATAACTGAGTGTACACTGTTGTAAACTACTACAACTGTTACTAAGTGGTACTTCTACTCCGGATAATCAGTATTCGAGTGCTGTACTAAAGTACAGTTTAGAAGTACTTGTACTGTATCTTATGCTGTATATTTCATGCACATTGTACTTCAGAGCCATGACTGACTGTGTCGGTGAAGGTGTCGTCCCTCTGACCAGATGGAAATACTCCAGTGGAGCAGCTCAGCTCCGGTCCAGCTGTTCCAGATGTTGGGATCACTGCAGCTACACCTCATTTACACAGCTGTGTGGACTCCGACATCAGAACAGAAGAGGAAGCTGAGTCTCCAGGTGGCCGAGGGAGAAGGAGAGAGAGAGAGAAGTGGAGGTCGGAGGACAGAGGCATGATGGGAGTTCATGTTCGTTGAGACAAACTGCTCTCAGCCAGTGAAACAGGAGTGAAACAGAAAAACCATCAGATCTGTCACACAGAAGGAGCTGGATACAGAAACAGAGACAGAAGAAATATTCAGACAAAGACTGAACAATGTACACGGAGTATCAGAAGTAAAATACTCAAAATGAAAACAACTATTTTTTTTATATGGGAGTATTATTATTATTAGTAGCAGTATTAGTATCATTATTATTATCATCATCATTGTTATTATTATTACAGATGCATTCATATCTAATAGGCAGAACAGAATTTTAATGGTGCTTCACTATAAAAACTTTATGAGTTCATCCTAAATGTTGCAGGTAAAAACTGAATCTGTAAAGTGACGACAGTGAAGTAAAGAGTAATGATGATGATGATGATGATGATGATGATGATGATGATGATGATGACGATGCTCCTTTAACACTCTGACTGCAGGACCTTTAGTTGTAATGAAGTATTTCTACACTGTTGTATCGGTACCTTCTTCCACTGCTTCACAGTTTTGTTTTATATTATTATTATCATTATTATTTTTATTGTTATTATTTGTGTTTTTCCTCTGGTATATTTTACTTTTGTTTTCATTTGATGGACTTTGATTTTAATTCTTTCCTTTGATTGTGAAGCACTTTGTGACTTTGTGTCTGTGAAACTGTCCAGACTGATTTTCAGACGTGGGCTCGTGTGGTATCCGTGTAGTAAACAGAAGAACTTTATTTGACCAGCGCCTGATTGGCCGGAAGTCACATGACCAAAGGCCCAACCCACCTGTGTTTGGACCTCCTCCTGTCTCCATGCACCTTGGAGGAAGTTGTGCCAGAAGCCTGATTCTGTTTCTACAGACTTGGTGTTCTGTCTTCAGTTTGTGTTTTAATTTTACAATAATCAATAATCATTCGTCTAAAGTGAATCCTATTATTAATATATTGAATTTATTTACTGCTACAACTAGTCCCCAGCTGCTGGGGAAGATACTGAACCTCAGAGTGTGTGAGTGTGTGTGACGGAGATGTGTGGTGTGTACAGCAGATACTGACTGATGATCCTTCAGGTATCAGATGTGACAAATTCACATTAAATTAATTATAAAATAAATTAAACTTTAGACGTCCAGAGTTGTATAAAGAGAAAAAGTTGCCAGTGATGATGATGGTTACCAGTCACAGAGCTGAAGCATTCAGAGTAAAAATAGCAAAAATAAAATATTCAAATATTAAAAAGTCTGTTTTCAAAATGCTAATTATTTAAAAGTACATGAGTATTATCAGAAAAAATGGCTCAAAATGCAGCAAAATGGTTCCTAAGTAAAGTAAATACAGCTGTTAAATCAATGTACAGGAGTATAAAGTTCAATACTTCCCTCTAAAATACAAATATAAAGTAGCTTCAAATGGAAAAACTCTCATTTCTACTTTGAGTTCGAGCTGAAAGAATCAGTTCATTGACAGAAAAGGAATTTGAAACTTCTCTGATGATCATTTCAAGGAAAAATGTCCAGCGTTTCCTGGACGCAGCCTGACAGTAAATCCATCAGTGGCTTTTGGAGCTAATTTAAAGACTTTAATTTAGTTAAAGGCAAAAATGTCAGAAAACATAAGTTTAAAAGAAAAAAAAAGACATTAACTACGGCTTCAGGAAACTGTAACGGCCATTTGCTATTTTTTGACATTTTATTGAGGAAACAATTAATTGGTTAATCTAGAGGCTGATTAGCGTTTTAATCAGTGGTGAAAAGAATCATTATTTGCTGCTCACTCTGGGGTGGGGGGACACACTGATGACAGCAGGGTGGAAATTAGGATTTATCTCGGTCTGAGGATGTGACGGCGGTGGAGCCGTGGAGGAGCTGGAGGGCGAAACGGCGTCATGTGTTCTTGTGATGACAGTCATGTGTGTCGCTATTCCAGCTGCAGTGAGAGCGTGTGTTCAGGCAACGAAAGGGTGGAGGACCTCCCTGCCTCAGCCATCCTGCGTCTGTGTGTGTGTGTGTGTGTGTGTGTGTGTGTGTGTGTGTGTTATTCTGGGTCAGCCATTTCCCTGGAATGTTCTGCCTCTTTGCCAAAGAGAAGTCACTACAAAGGAATGCACACACAACACAGCAGAAACAAAAGGGATGACTTAAAAAGGCCTGAGAGTGAAGAGACAGGGCCGCTCTGCATGTGTGTGTGTGTGTGTGTGTGTGTGTGTGCGTGTGACCTGTGTCCACGCTCATGTATGACACATGTGCCTCGTCTCTTCAGCAGCAGCCAGTTATGAAATAGGTGTGTGAGCAATATGTTGAAGCATCTGCCTGAACTCTCTGTCACATCCCCGTGAGCATAATTAAATCCATGAGGGGAACATTTTTAGAGAAGGAGGGGGGTGAGGTGGGGGGGCAAGATGCCCCCCCCCACCTCACCACCACCCCTCTGTCCCCTTTCTTTAACCTTGCCTCCATCACAAGCAGCAGCAAGATGAAGCACATTCCTCAAACTGAGAGCACAGTCAGTTTCGCTTTTACTCCCACTAGCTTTTCAGTTGTTCCCTCTTTGTCTCCTCCACCCCCCCCCCTCCTCTCCTCTCCTCCTCCCTCCATCTCCCCTTGTTTTTTTTCTTTTCTCCTGGAGGTCAGATTGTTGCAGCAGTGATTCAGAGTGGGAGCGGGGGTCAACACTTGAGCTGTGTGCACCCTCTCAGGTTCGGTGTAGAGCGGAGCAGTCGCTCCCTCCGTCCTGTGACATTGTGAAATGACTGCAGTACATTGGGACTGTGTGTATGTGTGTGTGATTGTACTATGCGGCAGGTCGTGGGGGAGGAAGAAGCAAAGGCAGCAGCAGCAGCAGCAGCAGTGTGGAGTGTAGAGGTGGAGGAGGAGGAGGAGGAGGAGGAGAGGAGGGAGGGGGAAGGGGGTGATATGGATAGTGTAGAGAAAAATGAAGAAATGGGAAATCTCAGCACCTGTTTCCAGGGCAACAGAGGTCTGAAAAACAGAGGCTGGTTGGACTTTTTATTTTCCACGCTGCACTGCCCTCTGGCAAGATACTGCAGACACCTAATGACTCCCCAGCACTCACTGGCCCTGCTGCTGCAACACTGGCTTCAAGTGACACAGACTCCATACCTCTGTGAGTGTGTGTGTGTGTGTGTGTGTGCGTGCGTGTGTGTGTGATGCATTCAGGTGAATGCAAAGGTTTGGGGACCCCTGGTAAAATTTTATTTATTTTCTTCAAATGTTAATCCACTGTTACCTTTTATTTCAAGGACTTAAAAACAGAAATGTGGCTTGTGCAGAAGTTTGGACGCCCGGCTGAGTGAGTATCGATATAATACTTAAATCGCTATATACCAAGGCTCTAACAAACAACATAATCATTGGATTAAGGCTTATAGAAACCATAACTGCACGTCTTTAATACAAAAGAAAATAAGATCTAATAAAATAAATAAAATCCATGATAGAAACAGGATTTATAAACAGAACCAGAATGCTGATTTGCAGTTTCATGATATCAAATTTCACTAAAGAAGGAAGGAAATAATAAAAAGACAAAGACATTTGCATCAAACACGTGATGGATGAACTTCCCCGTGTCTTCAAACTCTGCAGCCTGAAAGAAAAACATATTCTTTCCTTCTTGGAGATTTCATAGATAATATCAGTCCAGTCATCTCGTGTCTCGTGTTTCTGGATCAGGTATCTGACCTCAGGTCACATTTTCTGAAGGCAGGGCTCATATTTAAACTTTTTACAAAACTTTAAGAACTTCCTGCCTTCATACTGGAAAACTGCACTGTTTCACACAGTGAGTCTTTTCATTTTTTTCATTGTACTTGACATAAATTCCTCATTAGATTTCCCTCCTTTTTTCCCATTTTTCTTTCACGTACAATAATTACATAAAGTTCTCCTCTATAAAGACATATATCATTTTATTTCCCTCAGCTAATCAATCAATATAAAGTTGAATCTGCAAAAATCTTTATTATTCAAACCATTCTGCATCTTCAGGTCCTGAGAAGTCCTTACAACCCTCTGATGTAGACACATACTGAACCTTTACATCTGGTCCTTCAGGCACACAGTCAGTGTAACATGCACATCATCTCACACTGTGACGCATCCCTCTGATTTCCAGTGACGTTCAGGTCAGGAGACTGTGAGGGCCGCTCCAAAAAGCTCCAGCTTGTGTTTCTAATTTTGATTTGATCTGTTTTTGGATCTTTGTCCCGTTGTAGAAGCCAAGAACACTCACAGCCCCCTGACTGGAACATCACTGATGCTTTAACTAGAGCTGCACAATTAATTCAAATGTAATTGGAAATCGCAATATGACCAAGTGCAAAATCCAAATCACAGGATCTGTAATAATTTTGTGATGAAGGTAAAATGTGTCATGACATTGTTGTGCATTATTAGCACCATACGTGTTGTGGTGCTGCAGAGCCGCCCCGGTCTATAAATCATATTCTCCAGACGTAAAGGAACAAGTGTGTTTGGTACAACAACCAACAGAAATCACATCATCATCATTTTCAACATTTTTTCAGTTAAAATAAAATGCAAAAATGACCATTCCAACTGAAATTGCAATATCTGCCAAAATAATCGCAGTATATATATATCTATATATATATATAGATATATATATATTGCATATCATGGAGCCCTACTGTGCAGGAAAAATGGCTGAAAATCCACCAGTCAGTGTTTGCAAGCGTGATATCTGCAAAAGAGGAGGATGAAGTAGGGTGTCCAAACTTTTGCACATGCAATAATTATTGTTTATTTTTCCCTATGTTTTAAGATCATGAAATAAAGAATAAAAACGCATTAACATGTGAAGTAAGTCTTATTTATAAATGTCTGTTTGCTGCAGGAGCTGCATTAATGTGCATTTACTCCAAAAATCAACAAAATATGTAATTTTCTCATGGGGTGCCCAAACTTTTGCACATGCAACAATTACTGTTTTTTACCTATGTTTTAAGATCATAAAATAAAGAGTAATATTGCATTAACATGTGAAGAAAGGCTCATTTTTAAATGTGTATTTACTTCAAAAATCAACTAAATATGTAATTTGCTCGTGAGGTGCACAAACTCGTGCATGTGTAGGTGCTGCAGGTGCATGATTTTACTGAGTGGAAATCACATACCATGTTGCACGATGCATGGATCACACACACACGTGATCATTCACAGGTGATGTCATTGTCGATCCCTCTCTCTGTCTCCCTGTCCCTCTCTCTCTTTCTCTAAAATGATCTGCTGCTCTGGTCTGCAGTCAGTCAGTCAGTCAGTCAGTCACTCATTCAGCAGCCTGCCTGCCTTTACAGGAGGAGGAGGAGGAGGAGAGGAGGAGGAGGGACAGGGAGAAATGCCTTTCTCAGTGGGGGAGACATTAGCCCTGTGATCTCATGAATATATTACAGCGGGTCATTGTGCAATGAGGGAGGTGTAGTGAGGTGCCAGGTTATGTCCTGCCCAAGCACAGACTGCAACCAGCTCTCTTTAATTAACTCTAGCTTGTTAGTTAACCTCATAGTTACTAAATACGCATCGTTTTTTTGTTTTTTTTTTAATAAATACGCTTATAAATAGAAAGTGTTGAATAGTGTATTTACTCCCTGTTTGTCTGGGATGTGAAAACAGACAGAAAACAAGCTAAAAGACCATATTAATAGCGTATTAAATGCTCGATAACACGGTCAACAAGCAGCCTTGTCTTCTCGTTAGCACCGACTGCGACACTACTGGCCGGCTAATGTCGCTTAGCTAGCTAACTTAACTGTCTACAAGCGGCTTCACCGTCTGGCAGCGGGGGAAGGTAAGGTAACTGCCGACAGCTCTTCTTCTTCTTCTTCTTCTCCTCCTGCTTCTTCTTCTGCTTCGTGTTATTATTATTATTATCAAGTCACAGCGCTTAGCCCGTTAGTTAGCCGCTTTGCTAACTAGCTACTTTCAAGTTAATGTAGCGCAAAGCGAGCTAACGTTTGACACAAACTTGACGCTAGCTAAGTAGCATTCGGTTGCTAACGGTGCCAGCGGCGCAGCAGCAGCAGCGGCGTGTTAAAGACCCTCCACAGCTCCGTTTCCAGTCCTCCTCTAACCAGGCACATAGTGGAAACTTAACGCTGTCAGGCTGCGATACCAACACAGCACAGCCTCACTGAGACAGGACTCGTTTTTTTATCACAACTTCCTCAGTATTCTTTGGGGTTTTTTTATTTTATTTTAAACCGTGAACCCGCAGCTTCAACGTATCTGCGTTTATTGAGCAGCTGAGGAAGGTAAGTGAAACAAAACGGGTGCTATTCGCATTTTTAGTGATTCACACACACGCACATACACACACACACACACACACACACACACACACATAGAGAGAAACGCTTTGTTCTGATCTGCTGCAAATGTGAGCGGCATGTTTTGTTTGTGTTGATGCAGCAGGAGGTGCAGGCAGGTACATACATCTGCCTGATCATCTAGCAAAATAGATCGATAATCACATCATTGGAAGGAATTCTGTTTCTGTTTTACACGCGCTCATCTCTGCACACTACAGTGGTTCCACCATGCACGGCTTGTTGTTGTGTTGCAATGTGTTTTCTGAGGTGCTGGAGGTTGCCAGTGCCTGTTTTTCCCTCCTGGCCGTGACTTCCTGAACATATCATGGGTACAATAACATGTTGTCTTGGCTTGAAGCCAGAGCCTGAGTCAGAGTGGGTCAGTGTTTACATGGAGTGTGTGGATAATAAATGTTACTTAAACGGGCTGAAATCTGCAGAATGAAGTGAAGGGGTTTGTGTTGAAGCTGCCGCTGTTTGGAGCCTCCAGATGTTTTCAGTGGTTTTAGGCTCCAGGATTTGTTGTGTACACCTTCACATTTAACCTGTAGCTCTAAACTCAGCAACAGTTATTCTCATTAGCAATTAATCCGCTGATTATTCTCTCCAATAGTCATTTAGTCTGTAAAAAGTATAAAAATTGTGAAAAAGTGGCGGTTTTTCTGTGCGACCAATCGTCCAAATGCTAAATATGTTTAATTAGAAGCAAATCCTCACATTTGAGAAGCGGAAACTACAGAATATTTGACATATTTTGATTGAAAAATGGCTGAAGCCCAAGTTAATGTCATCAGATATCTTGTTTTATACAGTTATGGATTTATTATGAAGCTGTAATGAATAAACGTTGGTTTTGTGTTGTGATGACCGGCTGCTTTAAGTTCTTTTTAAAAACAGATAAAGAAAGTGAGATTTTTACAGTGTGATCAAGCTCATTCTGCAACTGTGCACACCACACTGAAACTCGTAGTTGAAGTTGTAGATATTGTTAGTCAGAAGCAAATCCTCACGTTTGAGAAGCTGAAACTAGAGATTATTTGACTTTTTTTTTTCTTGATAAATGGCTGAAGCCAAAGTTGATGTCATTAAATATCTTGTTTTATGCAAATTATCGATTTATTATGAAGCTGGAACGAATGAACGTTCAGTGTTTTTGCTTGAAAAATGGCCGAAGCCAACGCTACTGTCTTCAGATATCTTGTTTATCCAATTAATCAGAATCAGAATACTTTATTGATCCCCAGGGGGGAAATTAGGTGACGATACAGTTGCTCCCTCAAGAATGGAAATGTAACAGCAAAGAATAGAGAACAAGAATCAGGATTATAAAGATATTAAGTTAAAATATAAACATAAAATGTTAAAAAAAAATATGACCTTATACTATGATATATAAATAGAAAAGTAGAAATATATATAAAGAAATATGGAGTGATAGTTAAAATATACAATATAAACATGCACTTGGTGGAATAGAATTATTGAAATATTGCACTTGTTTGCACTGTTATATCAGGATTGCAGAGTTAGAATAGTCTAATAAGTAAAAATAAATAAATAATGGAGTAATTATTGATTTACTATCGACTTGGACCGAATAAACATTTGGTGTTGTTGCTTGAGAAATGGCTGAAGCTCAAGCTATTTCTTCAGATATCTTGTTTTGTTATTATTGATGGGATAAGCGTTTGGTGTTTTGGCTGAAACGATCCGTCGACTCTCAGGATAGTTGCCAATTAATTCCCTGTCGTCCGATTAATCGTTGCTGCTGGACACATGCACACAGTGAGGATATTGGTAGTACAGTAACTTGATGTCTTGTTACCGACCCAAACCAGGCACCTGTGGCACAAAACACACTGTACATTGTTGTACACGTAGATCTTTTATTCAACATAATTTCTAGATGTAATTCATTCATTTATTTCACATGAATTAGAAATAGAATAGAAGCAAACAAACATGATAATAAGAAATCCCAATAAGCTTTGAAAAAGCTTGTGCGTAGGGGCCCCGTCACGACATGTACAAAATATAGTTTCAGCCACTAAATACCTAAATAATAAAACCTAAAAACTCTAAATAGAAAAACTAAATGATCCAAAACATCTGTCCCATCAGTCTATATATCAGTTTAATAAAAGATACACAATAAATGGTAGATAACAAAAATAATAATAAAAGCTCAGTAGAGTAACCAGCTGCTTTAAGTTCTTTTTTTAAAACAGATAGAGACAGTGATATTTTTTACAGTGTTATCAGGCTCATTCACACCTGTGCACCTGTGCACCTCTGCACACCGCACTGAAACTCGTATGTTTAAATTTACGTTTCTTTCCCTTTTTTATACGAAGCTGTTTTCTTCTAGTCTTGTATCTGTGTGAGGGAGGGAAAATTAGAAATTAAATTGTGTCATTGAGCTTAAATACAACATTACACTTGATACACGCTTTGTAAAAGATATTCTTTCCATTAAGCTTCAGGAAGCTGTAACAGCGGACACGCTGTCCTTTATGAGTGTGAGACGGTCCCTCGTTCCTTCAGTAACAGTATCTCGTCTTTCATTGTTGGCCTCTCACGACGCTGCTGCTCCTCTCTGTATTAATTGGTAATCTCTCCGGTCGCATTGAGACTCTTCGTGTAAACGCAGGTGCGCTTGCAGGTCACCAGTTAAACTCGTATTGTAAGTTATCAGGCGACGGCCTTGTTCTGTGCTGATTTGCTTATTCAGATTTGCAGATGGCGTTATGAATAGATGTTTGCAGTCAAACACTTAACTAATCATTTCCATTAGTCATGAATGTCGAGAGGTTTATTCTTCCTGCAGCAGGAAAGCTGTTTTCCTCAGTTCTCTGTCAAATAAGCGCATTTCAGAAACGTGTAGGCTGCCATATTAAATAGTAGATATTAGGTCTGTAGCTTATGTAACTAATTATTTTCATTATCGATTAATCTGCCACTTATTTTCTCTATTAATCGATTCATTATTTTGGTCGGTAAAATGACAAGATTTAAAAAAGCGGCAAATCAGTCGGTGAATGTTTTCGCATTTTTGCCTATAAATTCAACTGATCAAATAATCGACTCTGCAACTAACAGTTACTTCAATCATTGATTAGTCTGTTCATTGTTTTCTTGATTGATACATCGGTCAATAAAATGTCACAAATTACGTGATGTTTAAAAACCAAGAGACATTTATTTAACGAGAAAAGCAACAAAGACTCGAGTTTCTCAGGCTTGATCCAGCGAATGGCTTTTTTTAATTAAAAAATTATTAATTGATGATCAAAATAATTGCTGATTGAGTTTCAATTAATGGATTAGTCTTGGCTGTGTCTCATCAAAACACACCTGTAAAGCTTCCAGAGTGTCTGGCTTTAGCAATATGTTTTATTATGCAAAAATGTCAAATATTGTTAAGAAAAAATTCAGCAGGCCCAAAATATCACGATACACGATATTATCATGATTCGCTTTTTTCTATATCGTGAAAATGTGAATTAAAAAAAAACAAAGAAATCCCCAATTTCCAGACACAAACTCAAATTTCTTGTTTTGTTAGTTAAGAAATTTAAATCACAGAGAAAAATCCTCACACTGGAACGTGGAAGTAACGAAGGTTTCTCATTTTGTCTGTGAGAAAAAACCTAAACTGATAATCAATTATCCAAATTGTTTTCTGATTAATTTCCTATCAGATCATTTAATCATCTGATTGACTGATCAGCTGTGAATTAATGCCACAGAAGATTAAAGCGACAGATCGTGAGTCGTGATAAGTGGCTGTCAAAACAAAAGAGTCAGTGAAGTCAGAACCTTGATTCATTGATGTGAGAGACTGGCACTTAATAAATTATGTAAAGGGGTGTTTGTTTTTTATTTGATTAAGTAGCAGAGGGACTATTTAATCATCTTTACTGACAAGCTGCCAACCTCTTTCGAATCAAGCGCTTCATACATACTTTAACACTGATCGCTGTTACTGTTGGATTACATTGATGACCAGTTTAATTTAATTTGATTGTAGCTTTCTGGCTCCAGATATAATCAGCTGCTTGAAACTAATATATAGAGATTACAGTATGTTTGGATTACTGTTAATAAACATGTGTTTAAGTATAAGATATAACTTTTTTTTGCGTTTTATGATCAAATAAAAGTGTCCTATGACTTCTGCATTAAAGCAGCAGCATCTAGTTGTAATGTTAATTTAATGGTGCATATAGGTGGAAATTCCGTGATACAATATTGAGTTTTAGTACATGAATAAACATTTTACTTTTTTTGAGGAATTTCTTTTAACTTACCCTCTTTACTTGAGGGATATCAACATGTTTCTTTAAAACAGGGATGCACAATCGGATTTTTTATTTTTCCCGATACCGATCCCAGTATTTTGTACAATCTTGTACATTATCTATCTTTGCCTTTTTGGACTGTTGGTCGAACAAAACAAGACGTTGGAAAATGTCTCCTGTCACAGAATAAAATGTTTTAAGACATTTCACTGAAGTGACATATTTCCTGGCAGATTAATCGATAGGTCGTTAGTCTCATCTCCACTTATATCAACAGTTTGACTGCCACTTCTTCAAAGTGTAAAACAGTTGGTGCATATAATGTGCACAGTTGTTTCACGGTATTATTAAGAGCTGCAATAATTGGTCAATAAATTGATCAGATGATTGACAGAAAATTATTGTTGTTTTATGTTGTGTGTCAAACAAAAACATTTGATGGTTCCATGTTCTCAAATTTGCTCCTTTTCTTTGTCTTATATTACAGTAAAGAAACTTGCAGATGAATCAATAATGAAAATATTTATTAGCTAAAGCCTTACTGCAAATATTGATATTTTGACTTCAGCCTTTTCATATAATATAGAATTTTTTTTTGGAATTTTAAAGCATTTTTAAATACTATTTATATACTATTTAAGTATTTTTTTGAAATACTTTGAAATTTTGAATATTTCAAAGTATTTTGAAATAGTTAAAAAAATTCAATATATTTCAATGTTTTTTTTTAATATTTCAAAATTCAAAAAATTTTGAAGCACTTTTTTTAATACTGCAAATATTTGATTGAAATATCGCGATATTCGATATTATTGCATACCAGCCCAGGACAATATAAAACAGTACATAGAACATGCACAGTTTCACCAGACTGCATTTCTCCTGTTGTCCTAATGGTTTACTGACCAGACCATTAATTAAGAATATAATTGGCAGATTAAATGATAATGAAAATAAACATCAGTTGCAGTTATTGTATTTCTTTGAAGAGGGAGATTAGAAAAACTAACATGTTCTCTGTTTTCTGTTTCATCCGCTTTCGCACGTTAAAGCTTAAATGGTGAAAATGCGGTAGTGGCTGAAGGAGCAGAGGGTCAGTTGAGGGTTGAGTTGAGCGTTCGGACTGTCGGTGTGACGGCAGTCGCCGAGAGCTAAAGAGGGACGAGAAAAGAAAAGAGGAGGCAGGGTGGGAGTGATGAAGCTGAGGTCAAAGGAGGCAAAGAGACAGAGAGGGAACAGTGTGTCTCAATCATTCCTCTGCAGGTACAGACTGTGCTGCAACATCTGATAGAGACAGACATCTTACACCCCCCCCTCCTCTTTGTGTGGTTGTGATGGAAGTTACAAGGTGCTATTGGGAGGCTGACGCTGCCTTTTGATAGGAGGGAACACAGGTATTTGCAGTCATGTGATCTGAGCGACCCCCCCCCCCAGTCCCCCTCCTCTAGTCCCCCTCCTTCTATACAAGATGTAGGGTGTCTGACCCAAATCTGCAAAGTGCAAAAAAAGGAAACCAGAGAGAAGAAACGAGGGGGAGGGGATGTTGAAGCAAAGGCTCTGATGTTGGAGAATTAGCATGTCAGTTGAAAACCATCAGATAAAGAAAATCATTAGCGGGGAGGTGGGAGGAGAGCAGCGATGGAGCGGCGATCGGGGAACGTGGAGGAAAACATCTGGTGTGGAAGGAGGGAAAGTGGCAGATAAACAGGCGTTAAATGAATCAAATGGAAGAGCGAGGTGAACGAGTGTGTGTTGGGGGGGTGAGCGAGCGGCTGGTTGTACGTCGGTGTGCTGAGAGGAGAGTCTGCCTCTTCACATCTCTGTTCTCTTAAATTCCTTTTGAAATCAGCAAGCTAAATTTAGCTCCTAGCACCCCTCCCCCCCCCCGCCCCCTCCTCTGAGAGGTATCAGAGCTACAGCAGTCAGTGATAGGCTAACATTTTGATGTGCACAGTCCACACACATGCACACAGATTAAAGTGAGTGGCTCTGAGTGGGAGGGCACTACGTCTTTGTGCACACAGTGTGGGCTACAGTGATGAGAAATTGTTGCTGTGCAGCAAATGAGCTTTGAGTAACGGTCTCTCCCTCTCTCAGGGCTGCCACTCGAGGACAGTGGGGGCTCTCTAATGATCCCCCCGTTCATCCGATGAACCCCCTCAACTCCATGAAACCCTCCCTGCCTCCCACTCCACAAAGGTACACACACACACACACACACACACACACACACACACACACACACACACACACACAGTGTCCTCGGGTGAACCATGTGACACCTCACCTGCCCTGCCCCAGCGGTGCGTTTGTTATGGTTTTGTTTTGGACCCCAGGGGCCTGGATCACGAAACAAGCTCAGCTCAGTCCTCCATATCCCCCTCTCTCTCTCTCTCTCTCTCTCTCTCTCTCTCTCTCTCTCTCTCTCTCTCTCTCTCTCTCTCTCTGTGTCACATGGTTCCTCTGAGTCAGAACAAAGCGGGGGGGCTGCGTCGGTGTGAGACGTGTAATACGACCCGGGAAGTCCAGCTTGATCGACAGACGATGTGTTCAAAGGCTGAATGTTTTGTAATCCTTGACAGACGGGATTTAACAACAAGGGTGCAGCTATTTTATCTTTTGTCTCTGTGATCGGAAGGAAAACTGTAGAAATACGTCAGAAATGTGTTTGATTGACTGATGATGTCACACTGTGTTGCTGCAGGAGTTGAGCCTGGTTCTCGTAGGGCTTCTGAACGCAGCCTAATGTTGGTGCGACTGGTCACGAAGCCGGTCATTGACCTTTGGGTTGTCTTATCTCGCTATCTGCACATTCGCGTGACAGAGACGTTAAGCTAAGCTCATTTTAAAACCAGCGTTTCCAGTAGGAAATATCCCGAATGTCTAAACTAAAAACCGGGTTCCCCTCCGTGCAGACTGATGCGTAAATAAACAAAAGAAAAGAGAGTCGATGAAAATCAATGAGTGAATTCCGTCAAACGGGATCAGTCGGACTCAGATCCTCAATTAGAAAACCGTTCAGACAATCGACTGCTGAGTGTTCTCTGGAAGCGTCTTCATTAGTTTCACTCCGGCCTTTAATGGAGTGCAGGCACACAGACTGTTGGCTGCTCCGCTTCCCTCCGGAAAACCATCAACGCAACACCCACAGACCAGCAGTTAAATCATGTGTATCTGAATTAATGTCGAGTTTAAGCTTGTGATTCTTTTACAATAATGGACAGTGAGGTATTAAAAAAAGAAAACCAGTCAGTCATGGTGGGGAAGATTTTGGCTTCAGTGACCCTGAATATAATGTGTTGTGACAGTAATGCTGCTGTGGTCGTTTCCTGTTGAGGAAATGGTTTCGGAGGAGGAAGCAGAGGGTAACCGCAGCTGTCAGATTAATAAACCACGCTCAGGTCAATCGTTAGCTCACACAGGTAACTGATGAATTCATGAGCCTGTTCTCAACACTGAATGAGCCCCAATGATAACCACGCTTTGTTTCTGATGAGTGAGTGGTAAAACATGGTGAGGTGGTGATATTGAACGCCTCCTGATATCTGAATGAATGCTCTCTCTCTCTCTCTCTCTCTCTCTCTCTCTCTCTCTCTCTCTCTCTCTCTCTCTCTCCATAACCTTCCCAACCATCCCTGTAACGCAGCTTTTTGTATCCTCCTGCAGCAGCAACAGCCCCTTCCTAAATGACCCAGTCTCCTGGCAACCAGGCACCAATCAGCACGCAGGATCTCTCTCTGTAGTAACCACAGTGTGGGGCGTGACCAATCCCACACACAGCCAGGTAACACATGACTCAGTTATCCTTTCCTCCTCCTGTTTCCTGTGCTGCAGCCGCACAAAACCAGAAACAGCAGAGGCAGAGAAAAGCTTACTGCACTTACTGTAAAGTATATTATATAGTATTAAATCAAGGCCTTTAAATTTAATTTTAATTTTAATTTTTTATTATTATTATTATTTATTTATTTATTTATTTTTATTTTCAGTTTAGAAATCATTTATAAGCATTAGATAGAAAAGGGAAACAGTGACCTGTTACTTGCCAAATAGTGAGCCTGCATCAATGTATGAAAACTGTGCTATAACTTAATATTAGAAACTAAATTACAAGCTGTAACTAGAATTGTTTATTTTTGATTTATAAAGTGTTAACAACCAAATTATAAACCATTTTTAAATCCTTTATAAGGTCGTCTTATTGTCAAAGTTGAACCAAAATAATAAGTGTAGTTTCAGTGTGACTCTTAAGACTCCCACCACCTTCTCTCTGATTCACTTGAGTCTTGATATGACTGTGATAACACCCCCTGACCCCCACCCCCTTGTTTTTTCCGTGTCCGTAGGTGTTCGGTGCACCCATGGGTCCAGGTGAGAGCTCTGGCAGTCACATGATGCCTGGCGGCAGCCCCGGTATGGGTCCCGGTATGGGCTCCCAGTTCATGGGCCAGCAGTCGTACGGAGACGCCATGTCTAAAGGCTACGGCCATCCAGTCATGTACGGGCGCCCCAGCGCTGCCTACAACCCCCCCTCAGCCTACGGCGGAAGGTACGTGATGGTTTTCTGCTGACTGAATATTACTGCACATAAATATAACTCGTCATGTTTAGAAGGTGCAGGACACTTATCTGTGTGGGAGTTTATTCAGACTTTTCTCATGGACTCCGCTAATAACAAAGCCACATGGCGTAGGCTACACGAGCCGTTTGTTTGATTGGTTGAGACGAGCCTCTAACGACCACAACTGAAACGACCACAGAGCAGCGAAAACAAAAGGAAAAGTCAACAGAACAGACTAAACAAGCTCTATTTTTACTGTTTATTTACCAGCACAACAGAGAGACGGGTTAATGATGTTGCAATGATTTAAAGGGAGATTCCACTATTTGGCAACCTGTATCATTTCCTGTAAATGTGACCACGCTAACTTCTCACTTGCTACCTCCATCGTAGAGATCAACTGACCATCCAGCAGCCGGTCTGTGGTTACACAACCTCCTAACTCAAAATAACAGGCGCCTCCTGAATGTAACACTGACCACATTAGCCAAGAACACACAAAGTTTAAATAAGACAACTTTGAAATTACCTGGAGCAGCATTTCCAACCTCAGACCAGAGACCAGACCGATATCACCCCTCCATCAAACTCCCAACTATTGGAGCATCAGGACGATTGTTTTAGCTCTGTATCAGAAACGATCTCCGTCCAGACTAACACACCTGAAATATAATATAATATAAAATAACATACATAACCAATCACACACACTGAGCATGTGCGAGCCGCTGTAAACAGGAAGCAGATTGTCGACTCTGCAGTTGGCATTAAAAATGAGAATGTAAGTGAACAGCAGCTGCTAGCAAAGACAACAGCGTCAGAAACACTGTCATTCATTCTCATGTTGTATTCACCACTGGTAGTCCAGGCTGATGAGAGCCAATCAGGAGAGACCGTCGGTGCGACCTCATCGTTTCCAAAGGTCTCAGTTTCTGTCCATCCAGATACAACACAACCACAGAGCTTTCAAAATAAAACCCAACCCTAGAGTTAAAAAAACAAAAACAAAACATAATCTCAGAGTTTTCAAAATAAAACCCAACCCCAGAGTTTTCAAAATAAAACACAACCCCAGAGTTTTCAAAATAAAACACAACCCCAGAGTTTTCAAAATAAAACACAACCTCAGAGTTTTTAAAATAAAACGAGTCCAGCAGCGTTTCCAAATATCTGGAAACGTAGCAAAAGTGATGCGTTATTAAACGTAAAAAATGTAGCAGTGTGGACGTAGCTTGTGAATTTCAAGCTGTAATCTCTTCCACCACTCGTTACTGAATAAATAAATAACATCACTGTCGCACGTTGTCCAACAGTGCCCCTGAACTGAACCGTTTACAATTTGTTTTGTATCCAGTTCAAACTGCACACAAACATTCTTCCTCTTTGTCACTTAAAATAAACTCTGAACGTTTTATTGTAGTGGTAGTTTTCATTCAGTCATCACACATAAAGCAGTAAAAATAAATAATACTGACTGCAAAACAGTCAACGGTTTATGTATTAAGTAGTGACTGAACAGGCTCAGGCCTTTCCTACATTATTATCAATTTAAGCTACCCACAAAAAACCCTCATAAATAGCTTTGTAGATCATTTCTTTTCCAAAATCTATTTACACATTTTAAAGTTTATATTAGTTATTATTGTTCCATAATTTAACCACAACAATAGAAACGCATCTGCTTTTTAGTTTTTGTGTCTCAGTTCACGTTTGCTCTCCTGTATTTAAAAGAACTTTGGGACACGGTCTGGGAGCTTTATTGTGAAAATATACAAGTGAGAGAAGTGTTTCCTTTTTGGCAAAATACAGCTGAACTGTTAAATAAAGATGATAAAATGTAACTGAAGAGACAACACTGTCAGAGCAGATGAAAGGAGCACAAACATAAATAACACGGATGTTTTGAGTTTGCTGTTCTTTTAAAACAACAGAGTTTTTGAATTATTGCTCATTTAAAAACATAAAATATACGAAATAAAAACATGAAATGACTTTGATAATTCAGCAGACTCGTGTGTTTTTATGTGCTGTACTCATGCGTGCTGTCGCTGTGGGATTCTGCATCGACATATGTCAGCGTGGCCGCTCTCACCCACGGCTCTGACTCATGCTCGTGACGAAACGCCTCGTGCTCACACGCTCGGTTCACCAAGTTCACTGCCCACTCATCTCCCCCGTCTTCCCCTCTCCCTGCAGTTACTCTGGTAACAGTGGAGGTGCCGCTCTGGGCGTCCGTCCTCCCTCAGACTTCACTCAGGCCGCCGCCGCCGCCGTTGCCGCCGCCGCTGCCACAGCAACTGCCACCGCCACGGCAACTGTTGCAGCAATACAGGAGAAACAGAACCAGGAGCTGAGCTATGGACAGGTAAACAAACATGTGTGAGTGACTCCAGTGTACTCGCAATTTATAAATAAACTAAATACAGATTTGAATTTTGTGCACTCCTCTAATTTAAATTTAAACACTTAAGATATTTTTTTTATTTCAGTTTATTTCATCCTGCATTTTTCTACCTGTGACTGGACTCAAGTTCATTGCCTGATTGGAAACACTTGTTCCTGCACTTGTTCTCTTATTCTGAAGGAGGCATTTTGGCGATCTATAAGTGGAAATAAATGATTGCTCTGGAGTTTAGAGTGTGCAGGTTTCCCAGGATCTGCAGTGGTGTCGTTTCACCAGGTCACAGTCTTTTTATTTGACTTTTTTTGGGCTATAAAAATAGATCCAGTGCAGATCCAGCCGGTTCCTGTCAGTTATTTAGTTATTTAAAACACATTATGGCACTTTATTATTAGTTTGTTTACACTCTTTTTACACCAGTACTCCTCCTGAGCAGGAAGTCTTCAGCTTTCACTGGTAGATAATCAGTTTTTTAGTAAAATTTTAGTCTTGAATGTGACAAATTAAACAGATAAACGGCATAAATAAACGGTTAAGACTCTGATCTCCCATCTTATTGAAGACGTCTCCTACGTTCATGTTTTAGAAATGATTGATCACAACATCTTACGAAGTGAGTTTGCATTGGTTAGCGTGGTTCACATCAGATACATCTACATTTATTATATTGCCTGAGGTAAGAATTAAGAATTAAAAATTAATCAGAAAACGGAAACAGCAAATTACGACCTCTCACTTCTGTTTTTGTAATTAAACAAAATAATTAAACATGTAAACTGTTAAAAATACATTCATTTAAAGTGGCTATTATGGTTATTATATTAAAAAAAAAATTAACAAAACAAATTATTAATATATTATCAGTATATAAAACATATATATAGATATATATATGTTTTATATATTGAGACCTTAGCCTGACCCATGATGAGATGAAGTCTCAGTCAGCACTGAAAAATTTCAGTTCACTTTATTTTGGTTATTAATATTTATATAGTAAATGCACATTAGAAATAAAACATGATATTGGCTGAAAAGCTGAAGGGTGAGGTGTCAAGGTATTAAACCTTAACGTTACGACAACACTCAGAAAATAGGAACAAAGATTAAACACTAATAATATTGAAAAATATAAATAAAAACTGAACAATAAGCAAGTTTAGGAGTTCCAGTGTTTTACGAGATGGAGACCAAAAGAAATAACAGAAGAAAAAAGTAAATAAAAAAGACTTTCACTGTTTACACTGATCATATCTCAGTTTTATATTTATTAATCACCATATTTTTAAACATTTTTTTCTAAATTTAATTTAATTTTCTTCTCTATGTTTGTCCTGACCCTTGTTTTTTGTAGATGCATGTATTCCCATAAGTATCACACTTAAACGTGTCTGGTTTTTACATTCAGCTGATTTTTAGTTCTACTTTCCTGAGTGTTGGGTCAAAGTTCAGGGGCCATCTTTAAAACCAGGTCTCTGGGGGTTTTGTGGACTGCGTCGCTGGTCTGGAGCTGTGGTGTTCGGTGGCTGTGAATCGGGTGTGAAGTCTGCTGACACACACTCATGACACGTGTTTCTTATTAGCTGCAGAGACGTCACACAGTTTGACACTGCTCTCTCGTGCCAGACTGTTTACTCTATAGACTTGTTATTTACATAATGGGAGTCGGTGCAGAAGCTCGGCAAACAGCGGCGTCGTCTCTGTTGGTTCTTATTAAAGAGCTCAAATGAGAAGTAGTTACAGGCTGAACGGCAGATTTGTTTCTGTGTATTCACTCGTCTGCAGCCCCGTTGGTGTAAACCAGCTCTTAACTAGATGTAAACCTCTTTCTCTTACACTCTCTGTTGGTGTTTCTACATCTCTGCTCACTGTTTGCTCTTTGCCCCCCCACCCCCTCCCCACCCACCACCACCACTGTACTCTCTGAACTGTCTGTGCTGCGTCAAATACCAAGTGAGCTTTGTTTTCACCCCCGCTGTCGTACTTCCCTTTCCCTCCCAGATGGGTGGAGCATCCTCTTACAGCACCCAGTTCCTGTCTCATTCGGGCCCCCGCGGCCCTCCAGGGATGAACCCTGGTGGGATGGTCCCTTCCAGGCCCGGACCTCCGCCCTCCTCGGGGGGCTTGTATCCCTCTCACCCTGCACAGACGCAGAAGATGGCCCAGCACGGGGGCTATCCCGGTGGACAGCAGGGCCTCAAACGGCCTTTCCACTCTGAGGTCAGTGAGGAGGGTTTACCCACAGACGTTCGCTCCACTCGTCTGCACAGTTTACATGTGGTGTGTTTTTGTTTTCTCATATTTATGAAACGAAATATATACATCCAGTTTCCAGTTCATTAGATACACTCAGGTGAAGGTTATCCAATAAATCCTAATCAATACATGTTCGTCGCTTAGTTGACCGTCACTGATATTAGTGGGGTGATCAAAATATTAGAAACATCTGTAAGTGTAACACAATACACTTCAACAGCAGCAACGTTATAACCTTCATAGTTTTAGCTGCATGTGACTAATAAACTGGCAACTGTGTGTGTATATTATTGATTATTTATAAAATTACAAATATAAATGTATGAATTTTATTCTATTTTTGTCATTTTCTCATTTTTTTACATTAATCTCCACAAGTTCGTAGCTTCAAGTTCTCATGCAAGTGACAGTTATGAGTAAAGCTAAAACATTTGTCGATTAATCGATTAGTCATTCAACAGAAAATCAATCAATAACTATTTTGATAATTCATTCATTGTTCATGTTACATTTTAAGGAAAAATGCTGAATATTTGTTGAGAGGATTTGTTCTTGTCTCTTGTTATTAATTGAATATGTTTGACTTTTGTCTTGGTTGTTGTAGTTCTTTTCAACATTGAGAAAATAATCGGCATAAGTATTGATAATAAATTATGACATCCTCATCACCTTTCCACTTCCTCTTAATCTCTCTTTGTTCTTTCTCCTGTGAATTTCTGAAGAAGATGACACATGATAATGCGTTTCCTGTTATTAGGTTTAGTGTGACATGACTCTGCTTGACGACAAACTGTTTATAGTTTGTTTACATTAAATCTCTGATATCACGTCTTGGGGCGTTTGAATTAAATTGAAGGGTCATGTGATCGTAACTTCAGACGTAACAGAGAAAACAAATGACAAAACACAGTAATAATATATAGAAATAATAACTTTTGTTGTCTTGTGTTGTTCCCAGGGTTTTCCAGTGCAGCAGTACGGCTCCGGTGGGATGTCAGGGTACCCGACCCAGCCCCTGCAGTACCCCCCTGGTCCGCAGCAGAGATGCCCCCCCTCACCCTCTTACCCCTCCAGCCGGATGCCTCTCATGGGACAGTACCCCTCTGGATCACACAACCCAGCGCAGTTCCCCCCTGGAGCTGTCCAGCCCAATCCTCCACAGTATTATAAAGTAATCACTTCCTCCACCTTACAAATTAAGAGCCCGACTGATAATGCACTGACGCTGAAAAAATTCAGATAAAAGGCCCAATAATTGTAAGGGTCCCTTAACTCTGGTTATTAAAGAAAAATAAGTAAGTAAAGATTTATTTATAGATTACTTTTCAAAACAAAAGTTACAGAGTCCTTCACAATAAAAGCAGTTTGCACAAAAAATGTAAACATGCAGGACAATAACAAACGCTGGAGCGACAAAATAGAATCTTTTTTCCCTTTTTATTTGATGATATTTGATAATAAAAAAGAAAAAAAATTTCTACTGAATGTTTTTGAAGACGTATGAGACACAGATCTAATTCTTACGCTAGTGCTAAACTCTTCTGGCTCCAGATAAACGGATCATTAGCTGAGTGTCATGTTTCCTGTCTGTGTTCTTCAGACAGAGCCTTTCAATGGTCAGGGCAGCCTGCCATCGGGAGGCGCAGGAGGATACAATGCCTTCACACAGGCCGCAGTCAGCGGGGTAAGTCAGGTCTGCACTCGCCCCAGTCTCACTTTTAAAGGAGTTCAGTTTAATAAGAACACAGAAATATGTGATGATAATAAGAGAGCTTTTATTATGAAACATTTCCGTTCTTAACACTCGTCCTCATCCTCGTATCTCAGCCAGGTCGGGGCGGAGTGATGCCCGGGTACCCCAGCTCTCCGATGGGAGGGAATCCCACCCCTCCGATGACGCCGGGCACCTCAATACCTCCCTACCTGTCCCCGGGCCAGGACACAAAACCCCCCTACCTTCCACCAGACACCAAACCCAACATCAACACCCAGCAGGCCTCCACAGGTGAGATCCCGCCCTGCAGCGAGCGCAGTATAAACTAATAAATGTTACAAACACGCAAAGAAGACGACGCCTCTGTTTTCCTGTGAAGGTAACCCCAGTGACGACCTGCGGCTGACCTTCCCGGTGCGAGACGGCGTCGTGTTGGAGCCGTTCAGACTGGAGCACAACCTGGCCGTCAGTAACCACGCCTTCCAGCTCAGAGACTCCGTCTATAAAACACTCATGCTGAGGTAGGAAGACACACACTGAGCTGGTGTGTGTCTCTGAACCATTATATTTGTATTGTTGAGTTTCTATGTCAGACATTTAAAGCTCCTCCAGTGTAAAGGTCTGTGTCCATGTGTAGTGTGATTATAGATCAGCTCTAGCTTCTATATTAATACTGTGAAAGTATCAAAGCCTCAGTCCACAGAGAAATGCACACAGCCTGTATTCAGAAACTGAGCCTTAAAACCAGCCGTCAGGACTTCTGGAACTTTGTGATGTCACAACAAAGCAGTCACCAAGCCCCGCCCACCTGGACCCACCATCCAAACCTTGCAGGATTTGGTTTCTCTGTGTTTTTACCTGAAATCTGCTTTATTTTCATTCAGCCAATCAGAAGAGAGGCTCAGAGCCTCCTCTCTTCCTCTCTACTTAAATATTACAAAAATTGGCAATGGCAACAAAACACACAAAGAATAAATAAATAAATGCAACTAAACATCATTTAAAGACTATGTATATCCTCATTTTATTATTGCTGTTTCACAAACTAAAAAGGTGATGTTTCACAGGCGTTGTTGGGGAAAAAAATCACATGTATTCACATAAAACAGCTTCAAAATCTATGTGATTATGTCTCCAGCTCAACAACAATAATAATAATGCTAATGTGGAGTTGCTCTTTAAATCATTGGCTTTGAACAGGAAGTTCATAAATGAACCTGACACCTGTGCAAGGTCCTTGTGTTGTCCTTTTATTTCCTTTTATTTTCCTTTTTCTTGAACACAGTAATTGTGTCTTTGGTGTCCAGATAATATTTAAGATTTACCATCTTTCTCTTCTCACACATTTATTTAGACACAAAGGAAGTCACTAATACTTTAATAACAGGACATTCCCTTCAACAATGACATAGTTGTGTCCCTCTGTCCTTACACCTAATGAACCGGTACAGGATGTCTGGGTTGAACTTATGTAACCTTCGTTGAGCAATAAGTTCTTAGGAGCCACTTGTTCTGTAAAAACATTTCCACTCCCTCATTTCTTCTGCAGCATCATCTCTGAACTTTTACTGTCTTTTTTTCTTTTTTTCTTTTTTTTGTAGCTGCAGAGAAAACAGCTTCACTTCCTGGAGACTGGAGACTCTTCCCTGTCTGTCTCCGTCTTCATTTCATTTCTTTTTTTTTTTTGTGGCATATATATGGCATTGTATATGTATTTTTACATTTTGTTCCCTTGATCCTTCCCCCCCCCTCACTTCCTCCCTCCCAATTCCCCCAAACGGCAAACAAATCACGCCGCCTCGAAAGTCGCACACACAAATATGGAGTTTACAAAGAGACAGGAGGATATGATAAGAAAAAAAAGTTTTAAATAAAAGAGGAACATTGGTTGAGGCCCTGAACTTTTATTCTCTGAGAGTAACATGAAGGATAAATAGTAAAATATTTGGTTATTGGAGTAAAACTGGAGTTTGTAGCGAGGTGACTTTTAGCTGTGACCTTCTGTAGCGTGGTGTGAACTCAGAGCTGTGGACCTCCTCTCTGTTTCTCTTCCTGAGAAATTTAAAACACCAGAAGAGGAAAAACAAATGAGGAATGTTTGATAACCCCACCCAGTCTCCCCCCCTGACGGCTGTGTTGCGTCTCCCCCTGCAGGCCTGATCTGGAGCTGCAGTTCAAGTGTTACCACCACGAGGACAGGCAGATGAACACTAACTGGCCCGCCTCTGTGCAAGTAAGTCTGTGTGAGTCTTTGTGATGCTTCCTTTTTACCTGGATCTTCTTCTACCTCTCATTTAAATCTGACTCTTTTCTTCTTCTACATCAGGTGAGTGTCAACGCGACTCCTCTGTCCATCGAAAGAGGCGACAACAAAACCTCCCACAAGCCCCTGTACCTGAAGCAAGTGTGTCAGCCGGGACGTAACACAGTCCAGATCACAGTAACAGCCTGCTGTTGTGTACGTAGTCTCGACATGACACCTCCCTGTCTCAGTGGGTGGTGTACAGTTACGACAATTAATGTAGGTTTCACGTTAAACTGATATGATGCCATTTTAAACACACCTCTCTCTCTCTCTCTCTACCTCCCAGTCCCACCTGTTTGTGTTACAGCTGGTCCACCGGCCGTCTGTCCGGTCCGTCCTGCAGGGGCTGATGAAGAAGAGACTGCTGCCGGCCGAGCACTGCATCACTAAGAGTGAGTTCAAAACCCAGCACGTTTTATTCTGAAAGCCCCTCAATAGCTGCTGCTTCCTAGTTTAGATTACAGTAGATATGTTTAGATTACATTACAAGTGAGGTGTTCTGGAGATGTCGCGTTCACAAGGTCAAAATCATGTTTTGTTAGGTCGATGTGACCTTGACCTTTGACCTTTAGCCACCAAAATCTAATCAGTTCGTCCTTAAGTCCAGGTGAACTAACGTTTTTACCAAATTTGAAGAACTTCCCTCAATGTGTTATGGAAATATTGCGTTCATAAGACCAAAACTGCATTTTGTGAGGTCATCACGGCTCTGAACTTTGACCCCCAAATTCAAATTAGTTCATCGTTAAGTGCTGTCTGAAAACAATATGGCTCCAGCCTCAGCTAGAAATTTTACAACATCGCCCGGTCCTGTTTGTAGCTCGCTGAGGTGACTGTGTTTCCTTCTTTGTTGCAGTAAAGAGAAATTTCAGCAGCGGCACCATCCCCGGGACCCCCGGTCTGAACGGCGAGGACGGCGTGGAGCAGACGGCGATCAAAGTTTCCCTCAAATGCCCGATCACGTTCAGACGGATCCAGCTGCCGGCCAGAGGTCACGACTGCAGACACATACAGGTGAGGTCACACACACACACACACACACACACACACACACACACACACACACACACACACACACACACATACGGTGCTCACCTCAACGCACACATCAGTGGTCTCATGAGGACGTCTCTGTTCTGTAGTGCTTCGACCTGGAGTCCTATCTGCAACTTAACTGTGAGAGAGGGACGTGGAGATGTCCGGTCTGCAAGTACGTCCTTATTCCACCTCATAAAATCACATCCACGTCTCTGAGTGAAGTTTTAACCAGCTGTTTGTTCTGCTCCTTCACAGTAAAACAGCTTTGCTAGAGGGGCTGGAGGTCGACCAGTACATGCTGGGTATTCTTGTCTACATCCAGAAGTAAGTGTTCGCTTGTGACTGAGACTCTCAGGAGGTTTGTATCTTTCTTTTACGTGACAGTTTCCTTCTCCTCCGTTCTCAGCTCCGACTACGAGGAGATCACCATCGACCCGGTGTGCGGCTGGAGGCCGGTGCCCGTCAAACCGGACCTGCACATAAAGGAGGAGCCCGACGGTCCGGTCCTGAAACGCTGCCGCACGGTCAGCCCGAGTCACATGGTCCTGCCGAACGTCATGGAGATGATCGCTGCTCTGGGGCCGGCGTCCTCTCCCTACCAGAGTCTGACCTCAGGAGGCAGGAACACCCCCGACTACAACAGGCCAGGTAGATTCAGAGGAGGGGGTGGACGAGTTAGTGGTGTCCTTATATGACTTCATTAGACTGACTGACTGAGTGATCATAGGTTCTGTTAGCGAGGTGTTTACAGCTGCAGCTCCTTGTCTCTAGATTTAGCCTGGGTATGAACCTGGTTCAGGTCTGGACCGTGTTTCCCTGCTGCTCGGAAACTGCAGGGAAGCAGAGGAGCGCTTCCAATACACTGAGCCTCGCCTCCATTACAGCAAATAAACTACTTTGTTTCCATGTATCATTATTACTAAAGGAGGCAGAGGAATAACTAAACATAAGAGCAGAGAGAAGGAGGGAGAGAGAGAGAGAAGTCATCAGTAACGAGGCATCATACTAACGACTATGACCAACTCTACATATCAAACAGACGGAGTTCGACAAAGACCGGCCTCTAATTAAAGTCTGTGACGTTCTGGAGTTGAAGTAAATAAAGACTAAACTATTGTGGATCCCAGACAGAGGCTGTGCTCTGAGTGAGAGACTGAATAAGAGAGATAGTTAGTGGTTCACCTGGTGGAGCATGTGACATTTGGGCTTATTCGTTCGCTCATGACATCAGGTGAGATTCGTTCATGAAAATGTCACACAATTTCACACCACATGGATTTAATTTAAGTCCTGTTGTCAGACAGGAGCAGACAAACACACAACAGATTTAGCAGAATCGTCTCAGGGGACAAGAAATGAGATAATACGGCACGTCATTAGAGATGTAGTGTGACTAAAGTACAGAGGGAATTCTTCGAGATGAAGAGGGACGTCCTGCTAAAGCAAAACAATCCATGGCTGAGATATTGTGCATTGTTATGTTTTTTTTTTTTAGAAAGGTTCAGGTTCAGTCATTATAATTCCTAAATCAAACAAACAGGGAAGTCTCTCTCTTCTGTAGTTTGTTAGTGTGTAAGAGAAAATTTTAAAAGCCCTAAAAACAAACCAAAACATTCAATAAATGGTTCATAACATATAATGTGATTGTAAGCCGTTTCTTTCCCAGGATGCACTGGTCACTGTGACACGACACAAAGTAAAAGTGTTGTCTTTTCTGACTCGTCGTGCTTCCTGCAGGGAGCCAGGGATTCTCCAGCCAAACAGGATTCACAGACTTCCCCAACACTCCCGGCACCCCGACACTAGGAGAGTACGCCTCTGGACCCCCGCCCCCGCTCCCCTATCAGTCTGACCAGGTAAGACACATTTAACACGGACCCACCCCACCCCACCCCCCATGACATAATACAGGATGGAGCAAACACTCTTCACTCAGGACATTTTCCTGAATGGTTGAGTAGACATCAATGACAACTCGAGTATGAATAGACCACAGCCAGGAGGCAGAGCTCTGTGAGCTCCGGTCACAGTGTTAGAAACGTTGAGGCACATATTTCCTGAATAGCAGATAACTCGGTACAATGACACTATATATTTGTGAGGTGCTTTTGAGATGGAAACCAACGAGTTTGGACCTCGTAGCCACTAAAAATAACAAATGCTTATCACCAATTGGAAGAAGCCCACATTGCTCACATTGCTTGTGAGGCTACGTTCACACTGCAACGTCTTCGTTTTCAAGCCCCAAAAAGTTTTGGACAGCACTCCCGACCCTGTTTTATTTTGAAAACTCTGCAGTTGTGTATTGTACAGGACGGGCAGAAACTGAGACCTTTGGAAACGATGACGTAGACACCCAAGGTCTCTCATCAGCCTCGACTTACCGCCACATGATCGTTCACATACACTGGGCATGTGCGAGCCGGTGTCAACAGGATTTTCTACTCTGCAGGTGATTAGTTGCAAAAAATACCACTAATAAGGAACAAAGACACCTGCAGTGTTAAAGTGCAGAATGTAACTGAACAACAGCTGCTGGCAAAGACGACAACGTCAGTAACACACTTGTAGTTTGGTATTCATGTTGTATTCACCACTGGTAGTCGAGCCTGATGACAGCCAATCAGGAGAGACCGTGGGTGTCTACGTAATTGTTTTCAAACTACACAACCCCAGAGTTTTCAAAATAAAACGGGGCGAGCAGCGTTTCCAAAAGTCTCTGTTTTCGGTGCTCGAATACTCGAGTCGTGTGGACGGCAGGAGGAAACGCAGCAAAAGAGATGAGCTTTAAAACGAAAGCGTTGTGTGGACGCAGCTGCAGTCGAGAAAGGACTAACAGGGAAATAAAAGTTAATTTGCTGATAGTTTCAGTAATGAAAGAGATCAATAACCGTAAAACACTCAGCAGGTGGTTCACTATTCAAACATCAGAGTTAATACAAAGACCAACAGGAGGATGTTTCAAATGCCTCCGATCGTTTTTATTTTCCTGATCTTCACGGTTCTTCAGATGCTGTGGATTTAACATCATCACAGCTCAGCAGGCGCTTTAAGTTCCCAGAGAGAAGAAGTGAATACAGCCCCTGCAGCAAACCTACTGTGAGTGCATGTTGCTGACAATGTGCTGCCGTACGAGCTGCGTGTTACGTAACCATGACTGTCGTTTCCGTCTGGTTGGTGAGTCGAGTTCGAGAGCCTTTAACTGAACCTGAAGTCGACAGCACTGACTGAGGAGATGTTGGCTCAGGTCTGAGCCACCAAACCACATTCCACCTGTCGCACGCAGCTGCTCGGCTGTCTGCTGACGGTTTGTAGAGGAAGAACAAAGTGTTCCTCCTCCTCTGCTGTCACACACTCCTGCTGTTCAGCCTCTCAAGGAAAGGCCACAGGGCTTCATGTGAAGTGTGATTTCCTGTGAACGTACTGTGACATACTGGAGAAATCTGCCTTTAAAATAAAGATTCATGTCTTGCTTGTGTGTCTTTCTTCTTCTTCTTCTCCTGTCCTTTGTTACCGTCAGGCGCCTCATTCTGGACGAATCGAACACCCCGGGAACGTCCTGCAGCAGCAGCAGCAGCACGGTTCAGGCGTTCACGGTAACCAGAGTCTCGGTGACGCCGGCAGTCCACTGCCGCAGCGCAACAGCAATACCCAGAACTCCCGGCTGCAGGGCGATGGCTCCTTTGGGCTGGGAGGCCCGGGAGCGCCTGGAGGAGAGGGAGCGGATCATGCACTAGATGTGAGTGAGAACCTGTGGATCTGAGGATCCACGTTTATCAAACTGCAAGTGACAGATTCAATTAAAAATCCTTCACTTTCTCTCCTCCCCACACTCAAGAATAACTGCTAATTATCAATCAATATCATTCGCTTTCTGACTGATGATCGATGCCTCTCACGTCAAAAATTCTCTCGTGTTTTTATTCCTCCTCGCCGGCGACAGTCAGAGCCGCCATATTGTTTTCCATCCATCCGTCTGTCTCATTCTCGAGGACACAATATCTCAGTAACACCATGACGGAACTTCTTCAGGCACAAACGTTCACTAGGACTCAAGCATGAACTGATTAGATGTTGATGGTCAAAGGTCACGGTGACCTCACAAAACGCAACTAAGACTAAAAGCAGTGCCGGCGATGTGAACAATGTTCTGACACACCTTTTTAAATATCTGTCCTCATTTTTTTATACTAAGGTTTCATCAGTGTCTTTGTTTTAAGGGTAATTCTTTAAAGTTTTTACAGCAGAGAGCAACTTAAAAAGTTTGGTTAAATTCATTCCTCTTTTCTCTTTGTTCTGTCTCTGCCATGTTATTAAGCTTCTTCCTGAGCTGACCAACCCGGACGAGCTGCTGTCCTACCTGGGCCCCCCCGACCTTCCCAACAACAGCAGCGACGACCTGCTGTCTCTGTTTGAGAACAACTGACGACCTTCAGACTCTCACGCCGTCATCTTCCAGCCCAGCCTCCGCTCCTCTGTTCGCTGTAGCCCGGCCCACATCGGTTGAAGACTGCACCGTCTCTGTTGGCACACACTACTTGTGTATGTGTGTGTGTATGTGTGTGCGTGTGTGTGTGCGTGCATTAATGCGCAAGAGTGTGTATGATTGTGTTTTTGTGTGTCAAGTCCATTCAGTGCAGCGTAGAGGAAAAGGAAGGAACACTCTCCACATGTGAAGACTGTCTGTCATGAGGATGATGAAGAGTAGAACAGTACACACAGACCAGCATTTTAAACTATAGCACAAACCACAAGCTGAAGGATCTGTATTTATAGGTTTTAGTAGCTGAAGTTGGAGCATCATCACAGCAGCACAACGCAATGTCGAGGAAAAAAAAAGCAAAACCTTTTCAAAAGTAGAAACAAACGTCTCAATCAGGTGGGATGTCGGAGGAAAAACTCATTGGATTTTCTTGTCCTTATTTTTGTATATGTTGTTTGGTGGAGTCTGGGTTGGTTCATTGTCTTCTTCAAGTTTACTTGAAAAGTCCTTTCACAAACGTCTTCTATGCTTTACTTTCACCGACCTAATGTAACTCCCCAGTTTGGGAGAGACTGCGTTAAAGGGTAAGGCTCGTGATATTCTGTCAACCAAGTGCAAGAAAAGACCAAAGTCAACAAGGTGTTAGTTTGTCAGCGCTCTGACGCCGACTGGTTCCCACTGCAGGTGTACATCTTTCAAAACAGCTCACATATAAAAGATTTTGTTTTTTATCAAACAAACTGGAGGAAGTAGTGCATTTCTTAGGGACTATTTTCAGTGGAGGACTAATCCACATTTGAAGGTTTAGTGAGTGTTTGTGTTAGCAGGGCGGTGTGTGTGTGTGGGACATGGAGTTAAAATAAACTACAGTGTGTGTGTTCACTGTAGTGAAGGAACTAGGACTACGTGATCGGTAAATTGGAATTAATGCTTCTAGTCACCGATCACCTTAATACTGATCATCAATGGTTAATACTGAGAAGCACTGTGTGCTGTGTAGTGTAGCCCCGCCTCCCACTGACCGCCAAAACAAAACAACAAGTTGTCCGTGTGGAACTTTTACATGTTTTTACACGGCAAAAAAACAACAGTGTGACTCGCTGGTGTTTTTAAAAGTTTTGGAAACAGTGAGAGGAATGAGATGAATCAGACTCTGATACACACAGAGATTCTTTATTGGTTTTGGTCTTTTTATGGTATTTATTAGAATATCAACAGACTTATCCTTTAATACATAATAATCATATAGGATAATGGCAGTTAAAAGAGGTCACATTTTTGTTTCTCTAGTCCAGTGACAGACTAAAAAAAAAAAAACGACCTCAGAGTAAACAAGGACAGATAAAGCCCAGCCTATGAGGGGCCAGGCCCAGATGTACTATAGACATTTTTAACACATGAAGTTGGGAGATCGCTGAGGTTCATTGTATCTCCGACATCCTTCAGCACTGTGACATATATGAAAGCTCCCACTTTCCCTCTGTTGATTTCACCCTCTTTTGGGGAGGGGGTTTCAGACATACTGTAAATGCTGTGTGTCATGGCATTTTCTGCCACTCGAAAGCTATTTGTATGTTTTTAAATTGTTTGACATGTATAACCCATCACGATGCGGGTTTATGTACTGTATAATCAGCTGTTTTCATTAGAGAACGTGTGTGTATCAAATGAATTGTTAATCATGGTCATTTTAATGTTATTAGTTGGATAATGGATCATCGTTGGCACTGTATACATACTGTATGTTAGAAAATTATAAACAACTGTAAAACTTTGAGGTCGTACATACATACGTGACGCACGTATGACAGAAATCGAACAGTCAGCTGACACTGAGAAATGCAGTTAAAGATGCCGAGTTTGAAATTATTCTTAATACGACTTTTTAAAGCTGACAGTTTTTTCTATGAATGATTTTCCGACTGTACCCTTTGTGGGCGACAAGGCAACAACAAGTGATGTTATTTGCCAATTTGAGCAAACACAATAATGTTATATTTGGAAATTATGGACTATTTAACTGCAAATTTCTAGGAAAAAAAAAGTTTTTTAATATTTAAACTATTCCACATATTTTGTAACACATTGTAATTGCCATTATTTTCTATTTATTTTTTAATCATAATCATCATTGTACCTACAGTTACGTTGTCCCTTTCCTGAAAGCCGGAATCAGAATTAAAATCACTTTATTTGACCAAAGGAGTTTGTTTTGGAGGCTCTGCTGTCAGGTCATATTGGTAAGTGCTAGATGTACACCGTGACACAACATCACATTGTTCACCTAGCTTTAGGCAGTTATTGAAGCTGTGACAATGAAAGAACAGACATTGTGGCACATTATTTCTCGTGTTAACACACAACAAGCAATTTGTAATGAATGTTCTTCGCTCCAGAAGAGACTGTAACTTGTGAAAGAAGAAGAATCTAACACTTACAAACTAAAAGTTGAAATAATAAGTAATAAAACGCACATCCATATAACCATTAGCTTAATGTGGCTAATGATAGCTAGTACTTGTAAACTTCAACTTACAGCTGGGTTTATTGACAAAGTGCTACTGTCATCGCGGCTCTTAACTCAAGCTGAGCGAATACTTTCATCTACTGAGTTATTTTTGCCACAGCTGTCAGAAGAGATGATCAGGTATTATACAATAGATGTACTTTAAATAAAAGGAGGGTTTTAGTGAGAGTGGACGACTTATATGAACAAATCTCTAACTGCTGTGATACATTTTGTCAGATATTTCCTGGTAAAATAAGATAACTAGAAATGAGTCTCACCCCTCATTTTAGGTGAGTTGGATTCTGACACCTGTGTAACCGAGTTCTTTCATTTTGCTGCTTTGCACCAGAGAAACCATCTGTTCCGCCTGAGCAGGTTGCCCTGGATTCATTCAACCAACCCATATCACACATAACCACACCTGTCTTTATTCCTATCGATTGATTTTTGAGGCTTTCAGAAGGACGGGGCTATGATTGGCTGTCCGCAGCCTTTACGTCTGCGGTGCTCAGAGCCAAATAAACAGATCTGGAGAGATCCAGTGTCTGACCTGTTACCAGGAATCCATTTATGTGTGGATTTTACATCAGATACAACCATTTATAAACATGGGAAACCCCAAAGTTTTCTTTGACATGGCCATTGATGACTGTCCCATTGGCAGGATTATAATGGAGGTAAGACACATCTCTTTAACATTTATCACTTCAGTTAAATTCATTTTTAGATATGGCCAGTTTAAGGTTCAAATTCGGCTTTTACATCCATTCATATGATTTGTAAAACGGCTGAAGCTTTGACAGACATGTTGCAGTGCATCAAGTTCTCCAGTGCAGCTTTCAAGGCTTCTATTATGGCTTCATTTTTTATACTTCAGCCTTTGTTTTATCTTGATATAATATGTCTAATTGCATAAAGAACAAATTGCACAAAATGGTCCTGGTCTGGAAACACCTAGTAGCAGCAGCAGCACAGCTAGTCAGAGCAGATGCGAGTGCAGTTCTAATAATGAGCAGGTCAGGCTGGAAATCAGTGGAGAAGCAGCTTTTCTGATATGTTGATTGGACAAAAGACATATTGATAAGTCATGTTGGGGTTCGGGAAATTATAATGGACAATATTCAATATTTTCTGAGGTTTTACCACATACATCGGTGTGAATCTCTGTGTTTTGCAGCTTCGGGCCGATGTGGTCCCAAAGAGTGCAGGTAGGTGAGCTGAAAAATAAAGAAGAAAGCCTAACTACTGAGCTTCTGCTCAGACTTTGCCTCTAAATAAAGTGCTCCTCTGCTGTAGAATAATAAATAATGCTTATTGTTGGTGATATGAAACTATAGTTTTTTGTATTTGAGGAATCACAGTGTCTTTCTTTACAGAAAATTTCCGTGCTTTGTGCACCGGAGAGAAAGGTTTTGGCTACAAGGGCTCCTCGTTTCACCGTGTCATCCCTGGTTTCATGTGCCAGGTACAGTTAAGGGATTAGTCCTGTTCCTTGTTTTCACAGGTTTAGACTTAACCTCTCCAAACAGGTTTATGGCTGCTGTTGCCACATGTGCTGATTCTACTTTGTATTGCAGGGTGGGGACTTTACCAACCACAATGGGACTGGAGGCAAATCCATCTATGGAGAGAAGTTTGCTGATGAGAATTTCCAGTTGAGACACATCAGCACGGGGACACTGTCCATGGCCAATGCTGGGCCCAACACCAACGGATCCCAGTTCTTCATCTGCACAGCAGGAACTTCCTGGTGAGCTCCACTTTGACTCGGCTGCACTCAGGTGTAGTCAGAAGCGTTGTCTGATTTCAGATGTTGGTATCACATACTAATCGCCTCCTGTTCTTTCTAGGCTTGACGGGAAGCACGTGGTGTTTGGCAGCGTTGTGGAGGGCATTGATGTTGTTATGAACATAGAAACGTTTGGCTCAAAAAGCGGCAAGACTTCAGCAAAGGTTGTCATTGCTGACTGTGGTGAAATATAACAGAGCAACTTAGTTCCTTCTGTCTGTTCTCCTATCAGATGTGTCCTTCACCATCCTCATCCCAGTTAATCTTTAAAATGGAGCATATCCTTCTTTATTCATTGTGTAATATTCTGACCCCTCCAGTCTGTCCTTTAAGGATCACATTTCTTAACAATATCTGAATAACGTGTTAGTAAAGCAACCTGAAAACCTGGCTTTGTGTAAGTCCTCTCATTTTGTATAAGTGTAAGTAAAGTTTTAATTAATCACAACAATAGAATTTAATTAACACCAGTGGAAACAAAACAAGTGAATATTTATCAAGTGCTCTAACAACAGGGTTTCATTTTTTATTATTGCAGTTGATACTTTTCACCACCAGAGATCATTATAGGCGTTCACTCAAAGGGTAATTACTGTAACTGTAATTATGAAGGTGTGTTTGTCATAAGTGTGTCTTCCTGTTTGTTTAGTTTTCAGCAGCAGCACTGGTGACTTACAATAATGTATCAGTAATAATATTTCATTTAGATCATTTTCCAATTTAAAACTCACAAGAGTCATTTTTCTGCATAGTCAGTACTCTTACTTTTAATACTTACATAATACGTACATTTTTCTAATACTTTGTACTTAATGCAGGAATTGTGAAGTATTTTTATATTGTGATACTGGTACTTTGACTTAAGGATCTAAGTACTTCTTCACCCACTGAGGAACAGTTTCCGAATTAATGTACCGAGTTATTTTTTTTACCACAGCTGTCAGAACAGATGATCAGTTATTATATAGTAAATGTACTTTAAGTAAAAAATAAGGTTTTAGAGAGAGTATACAACCTATATGAACATCTTATTAAAAAACTCATTGTATTTCATAAAACAATTAAGCAAATTTCTATCTGCTGTGATGCATTTTATCAGATATTTCCTGAGAAAAAAAAGGTAACTACCCATATACACTTGATGTAACTACCTCACTTTTTTCCCAATGGGAGCCGAATGAGCCTCACCCTTTATTTTAGGTGAGTTGGATTGCGACACCTCTGTGCTTCAGTTCTTTCCTTTTGCCGGTTTGCACCAGAGAAACCATCTGCTCTCCAAAGCGGGTTGCCCTGGATTCATCAAACCAACCGATACTTTTATCACACATAAGTCCGCCCATCTTCATTCCTATTGGTCGGTTTTTTTTGAGGCTTTCAGAAGGACGGGGCTCCGATTGGCTGCCCGCCGCCTTTACGTCTGCGGCGCTCAGAGCCATATAAACAGACCTGAACAGATCCAGAGTCTGACGCGTTGTCTAGAATTCATTCATGTGTGGATTTTACATCAGATCCGACCGTTTATAAACATGGGAAACCCCAGAGTTTTCTTTGACATGGCCATTGGAGAATCTCCCGTTGGCAGGATTGTAATGGAGGTAAGACACATCTCAGAATATTTACTTTAACATTTACCAACTCTGTTAAATTCATGTTTAGATATGGCCAGTTTAAGGATTAAATTCGACTTTTACATCCATTTATACGATTTGTAAAACGGCTGAAGCTTTGACAGACATGTTGCAGTGCATCAAGTTCTCCTGTGCAGCTTTCAAGGCTCCTATTATGGCTTCATTTTTTTTTATACCTCAGTCTTTGTTTTATCTTGATATAATATGTCTAATTGCACAAAGAACTAAATAAATCCCACACAAGTTGCACAAAATGCTCCTGTTCTGGTGGAAACACCTAGTAGCAGCAGCAGCAGCAGCAGCAGCAGCAGCAGCAGCAGCTAGTCAGTGCAGATGAGAGTGCAGTTCCAGTAATGGGCAGGTCAGGCTGGAAATCAGTGGAGAAGCAGCTTTTCTGATATGTTGATTGGACAAAGAAGACATACTGATAAGTCACGTTGGGCTTTGGGAAATTATAATAGACAATAATCAATATTTTATGAGGTTTAATTTATTTTAAGATGAGATGATGCCTTACTGATTCCCAGAGGGGAAAGAAGTATCTAAAATGAAAATAATTTGAGAAATATCAATAAACATACAGTACCTACAACCAGTGTTGCAAAAACTCATAGTGCAGTACTGTTACAGGAAAGTCAGCAAAGTGTGTATATATATATATATGTAAGAGTAATATGATACCATCTGCAGAATGGTATATAAAACGATTGAGTAGTGATACTTAGTATTTGTCTGTATTAATAGTAGTATAATATATTACAGGCAACAGGCCTGAAGTCATGTTAAGTGTTATCAGCTGTGTGTTGTTGCTGCTGTTGTCACATTCGAGGCCTGTTTCCAAAGGTTTAGCTTGCAGTGTATCTCACATTTCCTTGCTGACTGATCATTATATGTCAAACCACCACATGCTTCTGCTGTTGCATTTTCCACTCATGTAAATCTCTGTGTTTTGCAGCTTCGGGCTGATGTGGTCCCAAAGACTGCAGGTAGGTGAGCTGGAAAATAAAGAGGAAAGACTCAAAGTGCAACTACAGAGCTTCTGCTCAGGCTTTGTTCACACACCCAACATACTGTTGGATCATGTTTGGTGGAGGAAACTATGCATTACCAATAATCCTTGGATGCAAATTGAGGCTATATATGGATCGAGGCTGTGAATGAGGCGTTGATCAAAAGAGCCCGAATAACCAGTCCAGCCTGAACAACCAATGAATGTAAACAGTGATACGAGGCGATTTGCTACGAGTGTTTCCACTGTTATGAATAGTAAAGAGAAGGGAAAGAGCTCGTCTTTGCTTGAAATCTCCTGGTATTGATCATTTCCACCTCATGACAGCTGTAGACAAGTGGTTAACAGTAATATATCAGCAGCTCTTTCTGACAAACATTATGCAACTTCCACGAAGAAAAACCTGCATGATGCATTACTGACTGCCTTTGATTCTGTCCCACATAGCCATTGTTAGTCATATGACCTCATTTATACTCAGTGTGTGCAATAAAAGAATGCCCTTTAGAGTATGCTTCCAAGGGAATGAGGTTGCCTGAATGAGGGAGGACATGCTCAAGCATGAGCTCAAGCATGAGCATGTCCTGGCTTTACTTGAGTTTTTCTTTTCTATTTGATTTATAGTAGATTTCTGGAATTTGTTCTCAACTGTTTTATAATTGGTTAATTTTAACTTCATCTTCTATGTGAATACAAAATATTCTTCTTTTGAACAGATTTGGTTACTTCACATTTGTGTATGTTGTGTTTTTATCTTCTTACTTCAGTGCACCTATCAGGGTTCAACATTATTTGAATCAGGATCTGATGACAGTGGTGGGTTGTGTGTTTATGCTCCCAGCAGTGTCGGACAGTTTTTGAATGTTAAACTTTTATTAAATAACACACAACAATGTATTTTATGAACTTTAGCATTGACTGTTGCTTATTTAATCATGAAACCAAGTTTTCAGGACCTTTAAATCCAGGCTCTAAAGTTAAATTTCCGTTTTTCCCATTTTGATTTTTCACGTCTTTTATTTTAGAGTTCATGAACTTGTCATTATGGACACTTTGCTATGACAAAACAAAACTCTGATTTACTGCATCGTAACTGACACCAAAATGTCTCTCTTTGAACCTTAGAGACAGTTTTGTGTAACTGCTTCCTGACTCATCTGCAAGAAGAAAAGGAAATAGAAGCATAACTTTATGAAGCAATATGAGAAAGATTAGCTGTTCAGCATCAGAGAAATAAAACATTTATTGATGGAAAAATAAGAAATAAAGTTCTCCACAGCCCCCCCCCATGAGAGACAAACCTCAGGTGGTGTGAGTTTGAGACCTCTGCTGTAAAATAATAAATAATGCTTATTATTGGTGATATGAAACTATAGTTTTTTGTATTTGAGGAATCACAGTGTCTTTCTTTACAGAAAATTTCCGTGCTTTGTGCACCGGAGAGAAAGGTTTTGGCTACAAGGGCTCCTCGTTTCACCGTGTCATCCCTGGTTTCATGTGCCAGGTACAGTTAAGGGATTAGTCCTGTTTCTTGTTTTCACAGGTTTAGACTTAACCTCTCCAAACAGGTTTATGGCTGCTGTTGCCACATGTGCTGATTCTACTTTGTATTGCAGGGTGGGGACTTTACCAACCACAATGGGACTGGAGGCAAATCCATCTATGGAGAGAAGTTTGCTGATGAGAATTTCCAGTTGAGACACATCAGCACGGGGACACTGTCCATGGCCAATGCTGGGCCCAACACCAACGGATCCCAGTTCTTCATCTGCACAGCAGGAACTTCCTGGTGAGCTCCACTTTGACTCGGCTGCACTCAGGTGTAGTCAGAAGCGTTGTCTGATTTCAGATGTTGGTATCACATACTAATCGCCTCCTGTTCTTTCTAGGCTTGACGGGAAGCACGTGGTGTTTGGCAGCGTTGTGGAGGGCATTGATGTTGTTAAGAACATAGAAACGTTTGGCTCAAAAAGCGGCAAGACAAGAGAAAAGGTTGTCATTGCTGACTGTGGTGAAATATAACAGAGCAACTTAGTTCCTTCTGTCTGTTCTCCTATCAGATGTGTCCTTCACCATCCTCATCCCAGTTAATCTTTAAAATGGAGCATATCCTTCTTTATTCATTGTGTAATATTCTGAACCCTCCAGTCTGTCCTTTAAGGATCACATTTCTTAACAATATCTGAATAAAATAATGATGATGGTGTAAATAAAACAACCTGAAAGCCTGGCTTTGTGTAGGTCCTGTCATTCTGTATAAGTATAAGTAAAGTTTTAATTAATCACAACAATAGAATTTGATTAATCCCAATGGAATCAAAAAAAGTGAATGTTTATCAAGTGCTCTAACAACAGGGTTTTATTTTCTATTATTGCAGTTAATATATTTAACCACCAGATGTCATCATATGCATTAATTTAAGAAATAATTATTACTAAGGTGTGTTCATTTTCAGTGGTGATTTAATCTTAGATGCAAAAGTCAAATTACAGGAACTCACATGAGGTGATTTCCCTGGAACTAAGAAAGCAAAGAATACTTAATGAAATAATAAATAATACTGAATAATTATAAATGTATACATATGCCATTTGGCCATAAGACATTTGAGAGAATTCCTTATAATAGAGAAAATCAAAGGTGACAGGGAGGGAGAAATGACTACATCAATGCTCTTGACTAAACTATCTCAAAACAAGGTCCAATTAATAGCCAT